AACATCCTAAATTTCTTAATCATAAGTTTAGAGGTTAATCAAGGGTGAAGTGAAAATTAAAGTGGGATTAGAGGCTCAAATAATTAATTAGTATTTGAACTTCTTTGTGTGTTGTGTGGACAGATATGGGTGATTGGAGTACGTTTTAGGTCGAAACAAGTGCGTGTGGTGAGAATAAATCTCACTGTGCCACACGCGGCGACTTGTGCTGCATGAGTTGTGGTGCATGGACCAAAATTTGCCTTCATGAGTCATGAAATTTTAGAAATTTTAGAGGACAAAATTTGAGAAACACATAAAACAGAGAGAAAAGAAGGGCTGAGGAACTAGGCTAAGTCATTTTAAAGCGGTGGAAGGTGATTCAAATTGGTAACTTGCCAGGTGGGCTATATATAACTTTTACCTTCTATTCTACACAAATTTCTTTAAAAATAAGTTACAGGAAAATTGAATCGGTGGAATTTGAGGGGTTAATTCTTGCTCAATAGTAAAAAAAGGTTCTCAAAAATTAAATTAGAGTTTTATGACTGGTTTAAAGCTGAATGTTAGAGCTTTGAACTCGGAGGCTCAATTTTGGCCTTTGGAGAGAAAAAGTTAAGGCAAAAATCTATCTTGAGTGAAATAAAACCGATCGAGATGATGTAAAATAGTAATTCGGTAGTTATGGACTTAGAATGGATAAATGAAAAAAGAGTTTACGGATGAATATAGCCCTAAATAGTAAAAAATAAATTTTTGGTCAAAATAAACCAATTGACTAAAATGTGTCAAATATGTTCAGATTGACATATTGAATGCGTGAGTAGAGAAAGAAAGCTTGTAATAAGCTTGTGTGATAGTGAAAATTCATTGGTAACATTTTTAGTGACAGAGGGGTTGAGATAACCGAATAATTTCCTTTGTTTGGCCGTTTGTTATAACTGTATGTTAGTATACTATGTAATGCATGAAATGATTTCGAATTGAGCATGTTTTATAGCATTGAGTGATTGTTGTGTGTGAAATGGCTTTTGATTGAAATAAGCATGGAAATATGTTTTGTAATGAAAAACATTATATGTTATGTATAAGAAAGTGTTAAATGGTAAAAAAGGAACCTTAAATGGTTCGAGAAAGCATGATCTGAGTGGTGGGAGTTCACTCGAGTATGGGAGAGGATAAAGATCACATAGTAAGGTTTTCTTAATACCCTGTTAGGGTGCGGTGTTTGAAACAATTCTTTTTAGTGCCTTGAAAGGTGTGGTATTGGAGAAAATTTTCTTAGTACCTATTAAGATATGGTGTTGGAGATGAGAGACTCCTTAGTGTCTTTGTGGTACGGGTTAGAGCTAACGACGCCCTATTGTGTGTATTAGGTGAAAACTATAGTCTATATTGTGCGTTAGAACATATTTGGCCGAGTGATTCTACCACTACAAGTAAGCTTAAGATCAATAAAAGAGTACATTAATCTGAGATGAGCCTATGATTTTATGTCGGGGTAATTTAAAGGTTTGGTTGATAAAGATCATGTTAGTATTTTATGATATGATGAAATATCTTGACATAACACGAAATCTTTTGGGATTGATGAAAAGTTGAAAATAAAATATGTGATGTAAATACTATTTAATGAGGTTTTAATGATATATTATGTTTACTTTCATATTATTGCATGTAATAGCTAATAGGAGTGAGTTATTATATTAGTGAGATTTTTATCTCACCCCTATGGTTATATATTTACAGGATCAAGAAGTAATCAGGCCAAGGGAAGAGAGTCTGAACTGGCTTGAGTTGTGAAGCCGTGTACTTTAAGGTTGTGTAATGAACTAAACTGAAAGATTGTATATACAAGTGTATATGAGTTGCCATAAGGTTTCATGTATGTATTGAATTGAGTTTTTGTGAAATTAAGCCTGATTATGTATATATGTGTTGTTTGAAACAAATGGGCTTTGATTTGAGTATATTTATGTTGAAATGGTAAATTATGTTGGTGAATTTTAAGCTAAAGGATAAATTATGATGAAATGAGTAACTTAAGAACTAAGATTATATTGTAAATATGATTGCATATGTATGAGTTGAGAAATAGTCAAGTGAGCTAAGTTATGTTAAGAAATGACATAGTATGTTAAATTAGTGAATTGTAAAAATTGGTCGTAGAAGGGTTAAATTTTGATATATGAGTATGCTTGTTATTAATTTTGGTCAATCAGGTGTATTAGATCGTTTTAGACTTAGTTCAAGGTCTAGTGTGGTCTAATGAGAGTAAGAGATCTATTTGAGTGTTGAGTGCGCAAAATTTTCAAAAAAAGTGACTTTTTGCACCCAGGTATCTAAATTTTAGTCGAACCATTAGATTATGTCCAAACCTATCTCATTAGTTAGTATACGAGCTGAGTTTCGTGCAGGCACTTGAATCACTCCGATCGGATGTCGTATTAGAAATTGGCGCATGCCAAAAGTTCGTCATTTTTACCGTCAAAATGATAGCAGAAATCCAAGGCATGCTGCGGCGCATGGAGACACATGTTGCGGCACACGGACTAAAATTTTAGTTTTATTTGTGTGCCAAAATGCATGAAATTGAGATAGGAATGATGGTGGGTTATGTTCACTATGTATTTGAAGAGTATATGATTTACTTTTGCTGTGTATTCTCTGATTGTATTGTGGTTTAATTGATTTTATAAAAGTAAGTTTTTAGCTAAAGCTTTTGAAATGAAATTTATTATGATGAATGATAAGAGGTAGTGGTAACACCATAATTTTCTCTTATATTGTGTGAATATTTGAGAGAAGGTTACAAAGTGCACATACACAATGGTTTGAGTTCACCTTCAATGGCCAAAAATGTCTCATCCCACTTTCAGACTATTGTTTCTCCCTATCACATATGAATCGAAATGTCATTACTTCAACACCGCATTACACTAATGCTAAGGAGTATTGTTCTCCAACACCATATCCCGTATGGATATTAAGGAGATAATCTCTAGCACTATACCTCATTAGACATAAATAAGATATATGCCATGGGAACTTCTACTACTCCTTCTTACAAGTGAACTCCCTTTATTATGGTCATGCTCACACTTATCACATACATCACATACTTGCATCAAAACCACAATTTACTCATATAACTTTCACAATTTCATTGTTTTAAAATTATTTCAAATGCATAAAATTATTCTTTCACAATATGCAATGCTTTCAAAACAGACGTAGACAAATTACAAATATACTCACAAACAGTTAAGTACTTAATCAAATAGAATAGATTATTCTGTTATTTCAACCTTTTTGTTATAAAAAGGGTTACCGTGGTCTAACATTTGCTCTACACGTTCCAAACGCATGATAACACTCAAGCAATACTTAATCTACGCGATTAAACAACAATTGTCAATTATCACTCTAATCAAACTCTAAAATAACTAAATTTTAGGTATCCACTATACCCAAAGATACATTTCTTAATCCCCTTTTAGCACTCAAACACACTACTATCACTAACCATTTTACTTGCATTGTTCTAAAACTCCAAATTTTTCCATAAGGTTCATTTAAACCCTAACAAAAAATTTCAAAACACTACAAAACTCATAAATCCAGGTTTATAAACTTGATTTAACTTTTCAAGACCTTAATTAAGATAATGGGTTCGGTCTAAATTTAAGGAGAAACAAAATCAAGTCCCTCATTGTCCTAAAGTCGTAGAAATTCACATAGAAGAGAAGAGAGAGGAATGGAAAGCTTACCCAATGGTAATTTTTACTCAAGATGCTTTTGAAATGCTTCCAAGATAATGCTTCATTTGTCATCCCTCTCACAATTCTTTTGTTTCCTCCCTCTGCTGTTAAGTCCATGTGCAAATTGATATGTGCATATTTTTGCACATTTGTCGCTATGCATGGCACAGTGAAGCTCAAAGCAATTTGGGCCTCGCTTGTGCCCTGGTCTGCTCTAGCTTTGACCTAACCCTCTTGTAAGGTTATCCAAGAATTTAATAACTGTATTAGCCTTCCAAAGCATCATTAATTTAAAATTTACTTAAATTTATCAATTTATCCTTTTAAACTCTTGAAATTTCAAGGTTTAAAATTTAAGATGTTACACACCGCCTCTACCCAGTGCCTAGTTTGATGTGCAGTTGGACATCAGGCTAGCCTGATTGACCCAAAAATATTTTTACAGATATTTTTAAAAAATATATAAAAAAGTTGTCCTTGAAAAATATTATTATTATTATTTGAAATATATTCTTCATAAAACTAATATTATAATCAAAAGTAATTTTTAAAGGTTTAAATGAACAACAATTGCCAATTATTTTTATATAACAATAAGTTAAAAATAAATTTTAAATTTTTAAAAAGATTTAAAAAATTGCAATGATAAATTTTTTTAAAAGATCATAAAAATAATATAATTTATGATAACTTTCAACAAAAAATAATGTCATAAAATAAATATTAATCGCACAAAATTTTAAAAAAAATAAAAAATTTGCATATGTTCAAGCAAAGCAATGTTTGATCTCTACCCATGTCTGGCCACATGTGCTTGAATGCTTTGGGCAAGGTTGAGTTGATCAGGCATTCAAGCATAGTGTATTGCCCTACTTTTTATCATATCTTTTTCGTTCTTGCCATCTCTCTCTCTTATGCCCTTCAACATGTTTATTGTGTTTTTCTCTTGTATAACAAGAATGCTTGATTAAATAGTTTTGTTACTTGCTTTCTTTTTTAATTTTTAATTTTTGATTTTTGATTATCTTACTTTGCCATTCATTTTAATTATTATTATTATTTTTTGTTGCATAAATATTATAATTATTTAATGAATATTTTTTTAAATTTAGTCAAATAAGTAACATTGAAAGAAAAAAAATTGAAATCATTTTTTATTTATTTTATAGTAATTTCCAAATAATAAAAAATTATGTTGTATTTCACTTCACCCCGCTTCATTCCATTTCATTTCATCAACGACAGCTTATTTTCATTCAATGTTGGGCTTCCAAACGCGCACTTAGCTGCCCAGCCGAAAAAAGAAGTGTTTTTAACCAAAAATTTCAAACCCGGCTTCTCAAACGGAAGGAAAACAAGAACAGGTCGGAGTGAGCAATAAGCTTAATCGAAGCCGACGGGACTGAAAATGCGCAGCGATGGGATCTTGGGCAGCAGAGCAGCCCAGGGGAAGAAAGTGGCGGCAACTAGTAGAACGACGTCGTTGAAGAGGCGGGAGACATGGCTGGTAGTACTGGGTGTGATTCTTCATGCGGTTTACATGCTCAGCATATTCGACATTTATTTCAAGACCCCTATTGTTCATGGCATAGATCCCATCACTCCTCGTTTCACTGGCCCTGCCAAGCGTCTCGTTCTTCTGGTTGGTACGATCTATTGCACCCTCTCTGTTTGTTGAATTGTCTGTATGAAATGTCGGCACTCGGCACTACGTTCTTGGGATTTGGTTAGTGAATGTTATGTATCGAGCTATTCTTTGAAGGGTCTTATTTACAAAATGGATATTTGTTCTGCATTCATATCAATTCAATATAGGTTCTTTGCGTGCTTTACCATGTAAGTAAATTGTTTATGCCAGCCTTTTATCTTCGCACCCTGCGTTTTCTTTGACAATTCATACTCTTAAGTCCCAGTTATCGAGGCTGAATGCTTACCATTGTCTTGCTATATCTAGCGAAGTTGTCTTTCATTGTCACCCTTTGCTTTGAACTTTCTCAATTGATTGATATAAAACTCCTGCTGGGAGCCGACATTTTCTTAACATGCTAGTATACTTTAGTTGAATTCTCAATTTTTTAATCGGGGGAAGCTAAAATCATAATGCAGCTGATGGCTTGCGAGCTGACAAGTTCTATGAGCCGGATGCTGAAGGAAATTACAGAGCACCATTTTTAAGAAACATTATCAAAACACAAGGTCGCTGGGGGGTGTCTCATGCTCGCCCTCCAACAGAGTCAAGACCCGGTCATGTTTCCATAATTGCAGGCTTTTATGAAGATCCTAGTGCAGTGACGAAAGGTAAGTCTTCTATTGCCGTTCAGCCTTCTACTGATTTCCATGGCTTTACGTGCACTAAAAGATGGCTCACGTTTTGACACAGGATGGAAGGCTAATCCTGTTGAATTTGATTCAGTCTTTAACAGAAGTCGGCATACAATTTCTTATGGAAGTCCGGACATAGTTCCAATATTCTGTGGGGGCTTGCAACACAGCACTTGGAATTCGTATCCCCATGAACTTGAAGATTTTGCAACTGGTCTGGAGTTGCTTCTGAACTCAAATTTTTTAAATGATAAAAGAATTTTCTACCACATTTCTTAACTTTGATGAGTGGAGTAAAATCAGAAAATTCATCATAATTGAATTCTTTATCTATTTTTATACTTTACTTGCCATAGTTCGTATTTTCCTCCCTTGCTACTATCTTCCTTGATCATTGATTGTTTATTTTAATATTCTATCTGGCATGTGTTTTATATCAACTCTTTGAATCCTCAGTTTCAGTGGATTAATTATTGATTCATCACTCTTAAATTCTTAAACAGATGCATCCTTTCTGGACATGTGGTCTCTTGATCAGTTTCAAAGCCTTTTGAATAAGTCGAGGGAAGATCAAAAGTTGAAAGAGTTACTTCTGCAGGATAATCTTGTTATATTCCTGCACCTCCTTGGTTGTGACTCTAACGGCCATGCACATAAGCCTTTTTCCTCCATCTATCTCAACAACGTTAAAGTTGTTGACCATGTAGCTGAAAGTGTTTATAATCTTGTTCAAGATTATTTTATGGACAACCGTACAGCTTACATCTTTACAGCAGACCATGGAATGAGTGACAAAGGTTGGAATATATTTTGTGCCACCTTTATCTCTGGATATTCTTTTGGTTTCAATTTTTATAATTTCAGCATAGGTTCTTGAAACATGGTGTTGACGGACTTTGACATATCATTATTGCAATATCTTCAATTCTACATTTAAGTAACATTGATGTGCTACTCTATGCATCTTTCTTGGTTAAAATGCGCATTAGCCCTTTGATTTAGGAGGTTTGTCAATTTAATCCCTTCAACTTTAAAAGTTGACCAATGATCCCCTAGACTTTCAGTTTTGTGCAGCATAACTGCATAACCCCTCCGTTAACCTTTTCATGTGACCTCATGAACGCTACTTGTTTATGTAGATGCTAAGTCAGCAGGTAACGAAATCCAGCTTGCATACCCAGTGGCAAATAAGGACTCTTTTGGCATTTCCTTCCACATTTTTCAGCACATGGACAAGACAAAAGAGCCCTTATCTTCCCATTTGGGATAACAGCTTGCCTATGCTCTTTGCTTATAAGGCCTATATGTATCAGTAGTATTAGGGTTCTGGAGGAAACCTTTAAAAGAGTTAAGTTGCTCAAATGGGGAGTCCTTGGTCAACTTAAAGTTGAGAGGAAGGAATTGCAACCCTTTAGTTGAGCAGGGTTATTCGCATTTGGCTTTTGTTTCCTTGCAGTTAAAGGACACTATTTGTGTAAAGCGACAAAATTTTGTCACTTTCTGACATGTGCACTGTCAATAGACTCACTTGGAAAACAATAGTGATGAAGCATTGTCAGTGTCTAGATTGCATGCTCTGGTTAGCAACTGGCGTCAGAACTGCTTATGCTTTCTTCCCCCCTCCTTTCCTGGCTATCAATTCACATATAGTTTTGGACTCGACTTACACAAGTAAGGTATTGATTTGGTCTTGGGAAAATATAACATCCATTTTTCAGTACTTCGGCTTTTGTCAACTTTCTTCTTTCTCATGGCCTGGAACTTTCTGTATTCACAATTGAATTCATACTTGGTGCTTGCCTTGTATATGGAAGTGTCATCTGATTTCCAAGTACTTAAATTGTTTTCTCACCTGTGTCACAGCTAATCTCTCAATCTAACTTACCAATCAATCATTACCAAAAACAAATATGTCTTACTTTGCAAATAAAGAGTAATTTCTTCGCCAGCCTTCCTTGTTCTTTAAAATTCAATAAGGATAAATGTAGGGTGGAAATATGCTTGATGTAATAGGATATCCTGTAAAATACAAGCATATAAACCCATAGCATCCTTTACCATAAAATAAATCTCTTGAACCTTTAAAAATTCAAATGAGCCGCACAAATCAGAGGGGGGGAACTTTGATCGCCTTGTTGAAATAGAGAAGCTGATATAGCTATGGTCTTTCTGTTATAGGCAGCCATGGAGATGGGCATCCGTCAAATACTGATACTCCCCTTGTTGCTTGGGGAGCTGGTGTTAAATATCCAAAGCCAATTAATAGCAGCAACCATACTAATTGTGGTTTTCGGTTTGTTGATGACCATGTGCATGACACACCAACACCAGCTGAATGGGGCCTGCATGGATTAGAGAGGGTTGATGTCAATCAGGCTGACATTGCACCCCTAATGGTTGTGCATTTTGTTTTTGAAGATTTCTTTTCCAATTTTAAAGCTAAAATTCTCCAACCATCTTTATGTTTCATTGATCTGATGTGCTAATTCATTTTCTTGACAGTCGACGCTTCTTGGTCAGCCATGTCCTGTTAATTCTGTTGGAAGTTTGCCGCTAGACTATATCAATATGACTAAGGTATCATCCCTTTAGCTCTAATTGGCAGAGAGCTTTTTGTTGATTTTCATGAATGTTACGAAGATGTATTGTTGCTTATTGCTTACTTCATTCAGGGGAATATTTGCTACATTTTTATTAATTTGAAAGATCTTACTTGTGGTAATAGGACAGGAAAGTAAGGCTTACATGAAAAAGTGCCGAGTATTACATTGATTACTAGAGATCACATATGTAATTTGGGTCGGGCAGTAGGCAGTGGGCGTTAATGGGTAGATGATCTAACAAATACTTCAATCTTGTGTTATAATCTAGGCGGAAGAAGTTGAAGCTGTGCTGGCCAATACAAAAGAAATTCTCAACCAGTTTCTTCGGAAATCTCGTATCCTATGCCTTGGCATCTTTTGGATTGCTTACTATGGTTACTTAGACTTGATTGTTGGTGCTTTCAAAATTTTAAATAAATTCCTTATTTCTAAATATGAATATGCCATGGTGCATACCCATTATTCACCAGAAGATTAGCTAAGAGCCAATTTAATTGAGAATTGCTTATTTATGTTGTATTCGTTGACCTATTTCAGATATTAAGCAGTCACATTCTTTTTACTTTAAGCCCTTCAAGCCACTCACTCACTATTCCTCTATGTTGGACAAAATTGAGGGTCTGATAATGGCTAGAGATTATGAAGCTGCAATGGAGCTGTCCCAAAACCTAAGAAGTTTGGCATTGCAAGGACTTCACTATTTTCAAACTTATGACTGGCTGATGCTTACGACTGTAATTACCCTTGGGTACTGTGGCTGGATGATTTATCTTATTCTTCATGTGCTGCAATCTTATACTTCATTGCCAGGAATTAATTTTGGAATGGAGCAAACAGTTCAGAGAAATAAACTTGGAAAAGTAATGTTTGTGTAAGCTTAATATTTCCAAAATATCATTATTGGTTATCTTAATTTCTTGGGAGCTGTAATGATTATGTCAAATGGAAGAAAATTAAGAGATATTACTGAGATACACATGCCATCACATAAATGAGAATGTGTGAGTGACATGAAGGCTCAGTTGATCATATTTCTTAGCTGGAAATGATTGACTTCAAATTGATTTCCTTCTGATATCATTTCTTTTTTCCTCCTTTATGGCTGGCAATTAATTAAATCTTGCATCTTGTTTTGCAGGTGCACCTCATTGGATGTTTGGTGATGGGAATATTTTCTTTTCTATTATTTATGGAGCACTCTCCTCCTCTTTATCATGCATACATGATAATGACGTCATTTTTGTTGATGCAAATAGTTAGTGAATATCAGTTTTTAAAAGCACTGTGGAAGCATTTATCTGAAAGAAGAATGAATTATATCGTTAAGCTTCTTGCTATAACTGCTTTCTCAATTGTCATTCTTGAGTTCCTGGTAAGAATGTTAAACACTTTTCTTTAGCCTAGTAAAGTGACACTCCATCTTAACAAAGCTATTTGATTCCCTCTGCAGGTGAACAGTTTCACCGAAAGGAAGCTCTATACTTGGTGCTTCTTGATTGCAGGGGCCACAGCTTCTTTTTATCTTTTCAAGTCAATGTCCTGGAGACCAGGGATTCCAATATTTGTTTGCCTGGCATGTTGGTTCTTGTCTCTTTTCACATTGATGCCAGCAGAAATTCCTGACAACAATCAATTAGTGTAAGGCACATCCATTAATTTATCCTTTGTATATTGTAAAGGAATTTAGAACTCATTATTTTAAACAAACAGAACCTGCTGTGCTGAACTCAACTCACAAAGTATAGTTTTTCAAACTATGATGCATGATAATCAGATTTTCCCTAATGAATTTTTCTGTGATGTATATTAACCCTTTTTTGATGCTGATGATTGGGGATATGTATTCATAATGCTAAGCAAATACAATTATTTTATTATTTAGAATACTTTTAGGACTCATTTATGGGATTCCAGAGGGATACAATAAATAGAAGCTAATATTTATGTTCCCTTTGCATAGCTATGAAGATGAAGAATTTTAACTGGAAACTTTTTATTTTATTTCAGCCACTATGGTTGCAAGTTGTAGGTGTAAGCCGCTTAGCCAATCACTCTCAAAACTGAACAGACATGAACATAAATAAAAATAAAGAGTGATTGGTATTTTTTTGTTATAAACTCTTTCCATTCTTTTTACTATTTACTGATAGCATAAAAATGCACCTTCACTGATGCTTCAGCAAGGTATTAATGTGTTATTTATCTTTTGTACTATCAAAGCTTGGATAATTTCTTCAGTCATCCATGTGATAATAATAATTTCCATACATCTTTACTTAACCTTACTTGTTTTTGAAGTGGTTTGTCAATCACATTTTCCGCCTCACATCATTTTACACACACTGAATTCAAACAACAATGTTTAGCTTATAAAATTTTCATTAACTACGTTTGCAGAGTTGCTAGTGGAGCAGTGATTATTGTTATAGGAATAGCTGCAAGATGGTTAGATTTAAATGCTGGTGGGAATAAGTATTGGCTTGTTATATGTAATTATGAGTTCAAGGATCCTAAGTTTTCAGCTCTGTTTTACTTGCAGGTGCCTTTTCCTCCATTTAATTTGGAAGCTCAATCATGCATAGTTTCAAAAATATTCATTGATTCCTATTTTTTGTCCTCACCAGGCTATTTTAGTTGGTTTTTCTTCCATGATGGTGTATATATCAACGTCTCACAGAACTGAGAAGCAAGAACTGCATGTGTTACACCAGTTGATTAATTGGTCCATTGCTGGTATACTATTTACTCTTCTCTTTTTGCTCGAGTTTTTTAGTGCCATTCAGACATTTTTGTAGTGGTAGCATCATACCATTTCATCTTGTATGTTCCTTCTTGAAATACAAAGGTTGTTGACATGTGTTATGGCATTTGTTTTACTTCATTGAATAAAATAAGATGTCAGGCTAAGGACCAAAATAGTTGTTTTTTAACTGCAGGACAAAGTGTAGATTTAAACTGTTGGTGTTACAATGAAGAAGTAACTAAATAAATTTTGCAATGTGGAACTATGAAAACTTTTCATAACATAGCCAATACTTTTAATTTAGTTTCATGCCTTTAAGATGTACTTAGTTTTTCAACAACGTTCGATATGAAGGTCTGAACGCTGAATTTGTTTCACATGATTTATTAACATTATTTATTAGTTTATTAGCAACCATTCTGTATATAGGCTACATACCTGTCATTTGATTGTTCAAGAACCAGGATACTCAATTTTGTCATCTCATTATTCATCACAATTGCTTGGATTAAGGAACTTCAAATTCTTAACATCTTGTTTCTATTTTTTCACAAGTTTAAATCCTCTTAACTTAAGATTACGTGTTTTAATTCCTTTGTTTCGTTTTTCCCTTATTGCTTAATTATAAATTATCTTGCATTAATTATGGAAACTAGCATCAACCTTAATTTGTATTGACCTCTTTTTCTCAGGTTTTTCAATGGTATTACCCCTATTTTCAGCAAATAGCCTCTTATCCAGGCTCACTTCCATATTTCTGGGTTTTGCACCTTCATTTCTTCTTCTCTCCATTGGGTATTTCTTGTTCAGCGGCCTCTTTGGTTTTGGATTCCCTTCAACTTATGAAGTATGAGCACACAATTGTGTAATATCTTTCTTCTTAAAACCTGTGCAGATACGAAGCATTATTTTATGCTGCTCTTGCTCTTGTACTTATGGCATGGATACTATTTGAGAACACGATTCTCAATATAAATATCTTGAGGTCACCAGCTTCAGCTGAGGACGTTGAGAATGATCTCATCCTTGGATATGATAATAGGTCTCTGCAATTATCTGACGTGAGAATCCCATTGGTCTTTGTAAGTCCTATTCTTTTCTTTCTCACCTCATAAGTCATAACCTCATTTATTATGAGAATCTCTTCTTTTAATAGCCGTGTTTTCTGCTAGCACTGTTTGGGGAATGGGATAACAAACCATAATCTTTTAAACCTTACTATTTGTATTACATTGTATGACTTGGAATTTTTTTTCTTAATCAGTAATTGGAGATATTTAATTATGGTTTCTTATCTTAGTAGGTTCAGGATTATTTATACTTTGCCTGTGTGGAAGGACCATTGTATTTTAAGAGGACTGTTGGTTACAATGGTGGACTAACTTGGTCAGGTTGCTATTTTAGGAGAGCCGTTGCATTTTGGTTTCTCATGTTTTTTTATGTATGAATGATTTTGTTTTAGTTGAAGTCAAGAATTTGAAACCGTAAAACCCCTAGGGTAGCCCTAGAAAGGATAGGATGAGAGAAGCCAAGAAGACGATTTGGCCTGGATAGCAAAGAGATATAAATTCTCTGGTGCTGCGTATATAAGATTAATTGACTTGTATTCATTGTCTAAGATGAAGCTGGAGCTGTCTCTGTTAGTGTTGTAATGGAGAAATAGATCTTTAAAGGATTAAATTGTGAAATAAGTTTACTTACTAAGACGTTTCTAATCAGTGTCTGATTACAATTCATGGCAACCAAACTTTTAGAGTTATGCTGAGCTGTTCTTGTTATTGTTAATAGTGTATATCAGATAAAGCCTGACAAGTTATTTAGTTTTGAATATGACATGCATGCGAACTATTGTTTCCTGCAGATGGTTTTATTCAATGTTGCCTTCTTTGGAACCGGAAATTTTGCAAGTATTGCTAGTTTTGAGATTTCATCTGTCTATCGATTCATTACTGTTTTTAGTGTAAGTGATTGTTGAGCTTTTGAAGAAATCTTTAGTTAACTCTCTTAGTCTTCTTGAAAACTGATCTGGTTTGCTTGCAATTGCAGCCATTCCTGATGGCAGCCCTACTTATCTTCAAGTTATTTATTCCATTCATGCTAGTCATGTAAGTGAACCTTCTACTTTCTCCAGTGTAGCTATTTGCAAATACTCTACAATATATAATTATTTGAAACTCTGCTATCTTAAACGGGTGCTTTCTGATGATGCATCCCAACTAAAATTATGTGATTTTATTTGCTATTTTAAAAGGTCTGGATTCTACCATGATTATCACCATCTTCAAGGAAAATCAAAAGTTGATGAGTTGGCTCTAAGGTAGACTAACTCATCATTGTTAAAGGACTGGTTACCTATCATCAGACCAGTCACCTAATCTTTATTATTATTTTTTTCGTGTTAAGGAGATGACCAGTCACTAAATTGCATTTTATTGCCAATCCTAAATATATAATGTGCTTGCAATGCATCGTAGAGTGAAAGAATAGTTAATGGTCGTAGCTTTTTTTAACAATTATCAATCTTATATTAATTATGATGGAGTTCTATACAGATGTGCATTCAGCGCGGTGACCAAATTGAACCAAGTTCCAAGGATGGGATGTTACTTTCTTGTTATTATATTCTCAGACGTGATGACCATTCACTTCTTCTTCCTGGTATAACCATCCTATTCTTGATGATCACTCTTTTCCAGATCCTCCTTTCTTCACTTCATTATATCAAGTCCCAGGGTCAACTTAATGTTGGAAATGTCTTAAAGGATACAAGTAGAATTCCTTTTTTTCTTTTTATTTTTAATCATTGGCTTATGGTAAATTATTATTAGTTTTTGCGCGCCCATGGTTTTTCATCCTACTGATTGCATAAATCTAATGTGTAGATGATTCATGTTGTCCTGCTAATCTCTTTTTTTATTCTTAGTGCTCTGTAATGAATATTTTACGATACCTAATCCATCAATCAAATATCAATTTTGATTCTTTAGATATATTCATAAATTTCTTTTACTTTTTTTTTTTTTTTTTGGGTTTGGGGGGGGGTTCAAGTTTAAGGATCTGCAGTGTTTTCCAGTTATTTGTTGGACGGTGCTATCATCCAGAATAGGAATGGACATTTCAGAAAATGAGTCCCATCTGCATATAAAACATGTTTAACGTCATTTTTGACACTGCATTATACTTTATGTAGTAGTTCAGAACAGCATATTTGTAGGATCTCCACTTCTTATACTGCAGATGAGTACAGTTTCAACTTCAAACAAACATGGTAGTTACGGGTTACATTCTCTTAACTAAGTATTACCTAATTCATCAAACCCTGAACTGGCAAGCCATCTATCTGCTATTGGTTAAAATGGGTCTTTTTTTTTTTTTTGGTTGGGGGGGGTGTTAATGACCCTACACTGTACTTAACTGATGTAAACTTCATTCATGGCATTGCTGACGGTAATAATTGGGGATAATGCATGAGCATAGGCATGTTACTGATGGGACCAATGATAACAGGTGAAGAATACAGGAAGTTGGATGGAGATTGGCAATAGCATCAGCCATTTCGGGATCGTGAGTGCCCAAGTTGTTTTTGTTCTGCTACTATTTGCCCTCACGAACACATACACAAAGGACATTCGTTGCAATTTAGCAGTCCCGTCTGCTCGGAAGGCTATTTAGTTTGCATCAGAGTTGCAGTGAGATGAGATGATTCTTCACCTCTTTGAATCTATGCGACAATTTTGCTGATCGCATGACCAGCTTCTGAGAGCCATGTTTTGCCCTGTCTTCCTTTCCCCTTTATGAGCTTCAAAGTTCAAGCTAAAGAACCTTTATGTGCTCTAGTGATCTTCATAGAGATGGGGGTGGAAATTCCAACACGCGTAACAGATTTTTGTGTGGTTCTAAGTTAGTATTCACCTACAGGTTACAACAACATCGATATTGAGATTTGGGGTCAATGTGAAGGCCATCGATATTGATATTGAGATTTGGTTCTAAGTTTGTTCTACTAACATGATTGTAAGAATGCTGATATGGGGAATGACAATAAATTCTTGAGAGAAAATTTATGACTTTGATTTCCAATAAAATCTTTTAAAAAATAAATTATAAATATGATGAAAATAGTTTTAAACAAAAATATCTATTGAAAATTGAGTTACATTTGGAATTTAATCTGGGAAAATTATTCTAAAGTTTCATGAAAGAATTTTAGATCTCATTTGATTACTGAAAAAGAATAAAATAAAATAAGTTAAAAAAATTTAAATTAAAATGAAACTAGCCTTCTCTCATAGTAGATATAATAAAATGTATTAATACAAATTATAAATGTATTCTTTTCATTTAAAAATGTAAGGCATTTTTAATTAAATTTTACTTTTCAATAAAGTAATTAACTACTTTTCAACTAACTTTATCTTTTTATATTTATTCTTATTAAATACCTTATAATATATATAAAGTCATGATTAACATGAGTACTTTTTTTTAAAAAAGTAATGATTATATTTTAAAAAATTAAAAATACCTTACATTTTTTAACAGAGAGAGTAAGAATTATTACACCCTTAAAATTTTTTTATAAATTATGATTCTTAATTTTTGAATTAAATTATTCCTTTTTCCGTATGAATGTTTTCACGTAACATAAATAATTTTTTATGCTAAATTACTAAATTGCCCACCACTCCTAAATCCCTCATCTGCCGTCTTCGTCCCTTCTGAGCTCTAAAGCCATTGAGAACTTCCGTGCTCTCTGCACGGGCAACAAGGGAGTCAGTTTGCACTTTAAGACAGGTATGAGGAACTGTGTGGTGTTCTTCGGGTCAATGAAGACTTCGTTCCTGACCGCGATGGCTTCGATTTGGGTTGGGGGGGGGATAGTAGCCAGTGACACTGGCTTGGTCCCAGGCGTCGATGAATGATTAATTTGCAGTGGCCGCGGAGAGAAGCTCATTGAGGAGAGCGACAACGACGGAGATCTAGGCCTATACAGTCCTTGGGTTGCTCTGTCGTTCTTTTTTGTCGGCTGCGAAACCCCCTCTAATCGTTCTCGCCATCACTACCTTCTCTCCGATTGCTTCATCGCTGGCTTCTCCCATGGCTAGGCTTGACTTAATGATTCTGTGAAGTTCCTAAAAACAAGCGAGTGATTTTATTGTTTGATTTTAATACTTTTGGTTCAATTTTATTGATTTGTGGAAGGAGAAGGTTGGGGAAGGAGAAGAGAGTGGAGGAGTGAGGGTGAGAGAGTTTAGAATGGTGGCATCCACGGAGGTGGAAGAGAAGGTTCAGATTGATCATGCTCGAAATCGAACTAGCGCATCAATTGTGACACTAATTTACGGGCTAGTGATCCAATCAGAATTCAACTGGGGTGGGGTTCAAACGGTAAAGCAGCTATGATAAATTATACAACGATTAAGGTTATTTTTATTCTTAATATCAAAATTTGATAAATGTTTTTAAATTTAATTATAGATTAATTTTATTTTTTAATTTTAATTTTTTTATTATCCTATTATTTTTTTACTGTTAATAAGTCTCATATTTATATTTTTTTATCATAAAATATTTGAGTTGAAAGATAAAAATAATCCTTCAAATAAAAGTTTAAAAATAAGAATGATCCTTAACTTGATAAAAATTATTAAAAAATAATGAAACTCATTAATAATTAGAGGATGTTAAATGCTTTTAATGTTAAGGTGTGGACGGAAGAAATCTTTAAAATTGAGAGACATAATTGATTCATAATTAAATTTAGAAATATTTGTAACTTTTAATATATAATTTAAGGATAAAAATGACCTTTAACTCATTTTATAATATAAGAAAAAAAATTTAATAAGGATAATATTTATTTTTTTAAATAAACAAAATGTATGTGTCTTGTAAAATAATCTGACAATAGACCTTATACATGTATATAAACTAATACCATTGCTTTTAGAAAGCAACTTCTACTTTTCATTCTTTCTTTTAAATTTTTTATTTTTAATTAATATTTTTAATTAGATTCTATATAAAATATAATATTAATATATTTATTCTTTAAAAAATGTTAGGAAAAATTTCAACTAAGGATTAGTTGCAACTTAATTATTAGTGAGCCCAAAGAAAATTTAAAATTTTAGTCCAATTCAAGAAAATTGAAATAAAAATAATTTTAATGGTGAAAAAATAAATTATCTTTCACTTGTTATGCTGAATTATTAATTATAATTTTTTTGTTTTATTTATTAATTCATCAATATGAGTTATAAATTGTATTAGTTTGTCAAACAAGCAACAACATCAATTGTTAGCTTAATAACTTTACTTATTAATTTACTAATATCAGATATTAATTATAAGACTTGTTAATAATCTACAATTAATGTTAGCAAATTAACAAGTAAAGTTTATAATTTAACAACTAATGTTATTGCTTTTAATTAAACAACTGATATCAGGTCTTATATAATTATTAACATGTCAAATTATGTAATTTACAACATATTTTGGTAAATTAACAAATGAAATAAGAAAGTTAATAACTAATGATTATGCATAACAAGTAAAGAATACTTTAATTTTTTCATTATTGAAATTATTTTCACTTTAATCTATCTCAACTGAAATTAAGTTTTAGATTTTTTTGAGACCTACTAACCATTAGTAATTAAGTCACATTCTTGATCCTTAATCAAAATTCTATCAAAATATTATTAATATAAGTTCATATTCTTAAAATAATAAAGTTATTAAAACATAATGAAACTAATTTTAGCAATAAATTAAAATAATAAAAATAAAAATAAATTTATTAAATTTAAAACTAAGGAAATATGAGTACATAAAATATTATTAGTTGAATTTGTTACCTTACATAATCTTTTTCTTCGTCCCTTCCCAACTTTCTCTAAGGATAAAAAGCTTAGAGAAAAATGAAAGAAAAGTCTCAAAATAATTTATTAATTTAAATTAAATTTTAAATATTAAATTTTAAAAATTTATAATTTAATATTTTAATTTTATAATTTTATTGTAATAAATTTATAATTTATATTTTAAATTTTAATAAAAAATATTTTTTTATCATTTAATCATGTTAAAATTTTAAAAATAAATTATAAATTTATTATAATATAGTTATAAAATTTAAAAATTTAATTATAAATTTTTAAAATTTAATATTTAAAATTTAATTTAAATTAATTGATGGTTTTACAATTTCTTTATCATTCTCCCAAAGCCCAGGCGCCTTGCGCCCTTGCCCTCTCCTTTCTCCGCCACGTGCCCAATTATCTGGCCCTCTTTTTCTGTACCCTCATTTTTCTCCATTCCCAAACACTGCCATCAACCCTCATTGCTTTCTTCTTACTGTATCTTCCCTCAGTCAACACCTTCGCTTCTCCTCTACATTACCCGTTTCCTTCGCTGGCCTTCTTGCTGAACCGGTGACCGTTCCCGCTTTCCCGGTTCAGATCCAGACCCCCACCTGCCGTCTAGACCTCTCCAAGGAGTTGTTCGGCGGCGTCAGCGACGCTTGCGGCAAGAACCTCGACCACAGCCGCTATTGTCCGGTTCTAGGCGCTGGAGGTGCCGGCTCCGGCTCCGGCTCCCGTATACGATGGCGACCTTCTTCCAATGATGCCGGACGACTCCCATGAGTGCGTGAACTCGCTCCAAGACTGGCTCACGAGTCGCAACATTCGGATTCCGCAGCCCAACGGCACCTGCGACGCTGTCCTCTGCTTCTGCGGCATTCGGCTTCACCAGATCACCCCTCTCACGGCAACTCCTCCGGGACCCACATGGCCGCCCCAACTTCTGCCGTGAAGAATTTAGAGAAGAATTGTCGCAACTCTTCCTATGATGCGTCAATGCAATTCAAAAGGTACTCTTCTTGCCACAAAATTAAAAGTAAGCCTACAGGAAGTAATTTCTTATAAATAAGACAGCATACTGAGTCCAAAACTTTTAAATAGAAGCCAGGCTGCTTCTTTTATTGAGTGACATAAAATTCTTTTAAAAAAAGTGTCAGAGAAATTAAATATTCAAAGATTTGAAGTTTGGCCAATTCTTTCCCGGTGGCATCTCGTGAAATTGCCATCCAATTGACCGAAATTTCGTCGCTAGCGGGTTGTTCGCAATTGGTTCAACAACCATGCTTTCAGAAAAATGTTAAAGACATAATTACTATTTTATTGATTATGGATTAGGTAATTTGTTGATAATAAATTAAAAATTTTGATTAAATAACAATGAAAGCCAAAACCTTTCCGGATTGTATTCCCTAGGTGATACTTTACTGATATATTTCCTCCGATTTTGAGTGTAAGATATAATTTTGAAAAACTTGTTTTGGTCTAAATTATAACAAAACGCTTATCTGTGGTGCATTAATTACATTATCCTAATCACGCGCTTCATTAAAATGAGTAACATGTCTCAAACAAGGAACTTCCAATGTCACAATTATTTGCTTGTAAAAAGAAATAACTTCTTTATATGTTCTTTCCTTATGCCGTGTACATGTGAGTAATGTTTAAAGAAATAAAAAGACTCCTAACTTAACTAAGTCTCCTTAAAAACCTAATATAAAAACCTCAATGGATAACTGAAGTCTCGAAACTCGTAATAGCTATTAAAGCTTAAAAATATTAAATTCATAAAATACATGAAAAAGTAAATGCGAAAATTCAAAAAAAATAGAAAAAATTAACTGAATTAAACTAAATGGATTCTAATAGTTCAAGTATTCCCTCCAACTCTCCCACCCTTGATGCCATCATAGATGCTATCTTGAAATCCTTATTGGATGGCACATTAGTGGCCACATGTGCTCACATCAATAGTAGAATTAAGAATCATTTAAGAAATATTCTTAAATCAACCTAGCGTATTACATCATCCATGATTTATTCAATAAAATTTTACATGTTCAATCAAATAAAATATTATGTTTTATTTTTTTATGATTTTATATTTACAATAAAATGCATATTTAATTTTTTTTACCCTTTTCTCTACTGTCATTAACCTAAAAAAAATTATATTTAATGTTATTTAAATGACATGTCTTTGTTGGGTGGATCATAAATGATGGAGGTGCACCAGGTTGATCTAAAAATTTCTCATCATTTAAATGCAAGTCTGAAGTTCTTTGACCAAAAAAAAAAAAAACCCCATCTAATCTTTAATATTAGATAAAACTAATCAACTTTGTGTTTATTAACAAATGTTGATTACATCCTTAAAATTATAAAAAAATGTGAATTTTTAATTTTACTTTTCTTTATAATTAATAATCATAATAAATTGTTATCTAGAAATTCAAACCATAATAAATAAATAAAAATAAAATTTAAAAATAAAATTAATTACTCTAATTTTGCCTCTACCAAGGACTGGAAGAGTACAAGGTTGAAGTTCAAACATTAAATTGGGAGCGTTTGTGAAAATAAGAAAAACCATTTTTCTTAACTCTAGTGAGGTAATTATGTACTATTTCTCATAGTTTTTTGATTGAAATTTATTTCTTATATTCAAAATGGGAGGTAATACCAAATGTTGAACATCCTACTTTTTGAGCAGATATATTTAAGAATAATACATCAACCAATGGTAATTTCATTCCTTCTCAGAAAGATTAATTCTCTATTTTTTTCCCCCAAACTACGGCGAGTTGTTTGGTTCAATAGACATGCTTATTTTTTTTAAAAAAAATTAAGACATAATTACTATCATATTAATCATGAATCAACAGATTTGAGAGCAGCTCTAACATAATAAAATAACTAGGAAAGTACAACTTATCTGAATTTTCTTCAACAATTTACTTTCATCAGCAATATCAATTTTGTGAAAAAATATATTTTATAATGCATGAATCAATATCAATTTTGTTGCTTGTAAAAAAGTTCAACTATTTTCTTAACTAACGAATTTTCCTGGAACCTTCATCAACAATTCATGGAAATTTTTTGCATGACTTCCAGCAACAGTGCATAGAAAAACAACAGGATTTCGATGGAAAGATTGAGCGTGGAAGTGATGCCCACGAGGTACGGCAAACAACATTTTTAATTTCTTTCATACTTTTAAAGTATATTGTAAATTTACAATTCTTTTCCTGGCGTATTAAATATTACCCCCCAGGGACCACCGATGAAAACGAAATTAAATCAAGTGGCTCAGGTTTGTAGGATGGCGTGGCTCAGGTTCATTGGTTTTTTTCTCTTGGGGGCCTGAGTGGGTTGATGCATGACCTGTCCTTAAGCTAGAGTCAGAAATAAGGGTCGGGTCTGGAGGGTCGGACTTGAAGGTTTTATTTAAATAAGGGTTTGGACTTTGAAAATGAATTTTTTTTTTAAAATAATCAGGCTTGAAGGCTTGATCCTAATAAGCCCTGTAAAAAAAGGTTTGAACTCGGGTAGACTTTCAAGTCTTGTTATATTATTATTATTATTATTATTATTATTATTATTATTTTAGTGGAACACGTGTTTGAAATCAATGATTTGCTCACCTGATCCTACACGCATTATATTATTATTAATTTTAATTTATTCTAAAATTGATTTAATATAATTTAATAAATATTAGTGTATAGTGTAAAATTCTTAATATTTTTTATTTTTCTATAATTATTATGTTTGTATATTTATAAAAAATGAATTATTTTTTAATCAAGATTTAAATTTTATTACTAGATTTCTAAATGTGTGTTGTTTAATTTTTAAAAAATTATGAGGATTTTATTTTTTTTAATTTCAGAATATTTTAATTAATTTATAATGTTTAATTTTTTTATTTTTTTATTTTTTTGAAAAAGGGCTTCTGGGCCAGCCTTGAGCTTTTCACATAAAGGCCAGGTTTGAGAAATGAGATTCAAAATGGAGAACTGGGTTTTAGAGCTCAGGCCTTTAAAGGCCGAGTCTATAAGGGCCAGGCCCTTAAGGATTAAGCCTGCTCATATTCCCAACTCTACCTTAAAGCAATGAATTAAAACTGTGTTCTCCTGTTTAGCCAACGCCCAACAGTCGAATTAGGGCCCCACAGAAACCTTTTTTTTTCAAGTTATTTTACCCAAGACTAGAAAAAGCACGCCCCAGCTCTTGACAGACTTTTAATCAGTTTGAACTTCAGCATTTGATCAGTTTCTTCTCTGCGAGCATCGATCAATTTCCAGAGAGTTTCTGATGGAACTGAAATTCAACTTCTGCGTGCGAGCAAATGTACTGTCCCCTGAGTATAAATCAACCTGAGTTCCTTTCCTTGTTCATCAGATATTGCTTTTTACGAAGCTGATTATTTCGCACGAACAGCAGGATAAGCCAATCTACCACAAATTACAAAAACATGACGTATGTATTCTCTCGTTTTAGCGCGCGTTATATAATTACATGTATGGTGTAATTGGTAACTACCTTTGATCATGTTGGTAATGGTTAACTAGATGATAAAGTATATGTTAAAACCTTTCAACATACGTTGGAACTACTTTATTAAATATTGATGAAAAGTTCTCAAGGTGTTTGTTACAACACATCAGGTATGCATTTCTAATCCGTTGAATAGCACTGGTGTACTTAATCCTTCTAAGGGCACCATCTTATTCTTGCTTTTTTCTTGGTTTTGTTCTGGGTTCATAACAAATCAGCATGGCTTATTGGTTCTCAATAACATTACATGTGTTGCCACATCAGATTTAGCAGTGGAGTAGAGGCTGCGAGTTTTGTTGCGAGCTCCAATATTCTGAGGCGTCCTGTTGAGACAATCTCGGAGCTTTATGCAGAAACGAGTTCAAAGCAGGAGGAGCTGTGCTTCAAAGTGAAGCAAGAGTTGGATTTGATGGTAATAGCATTTGTGGCCACTCCAATCTGTACTGATCAAAGTCATCTTCAAGCGCCTGAGCAATCAGATTTGATTTCATCTTCGGCTCTCAAGGACAACAATTTCCCTCTTTTTGAATTCCTCTGTAACGAAAAATTCCCATGTTTCTCCCTTCACAAGCCTGCACTTTCTCTCTTCTATCATCATCGTGAACAGCTCCATCAACTGAAATCCCGGGTACATCCTTTTACCGCAATATAATGAACCAAAGACTTAACTACCAGATAAGAAAAGTAGTCAATTTTATTTATATACACTAGACTAGATTGTTCCTGTTGCAAGGGGGTGGAGGAGAATTCATTTGAATCAATTTATTATTGCATAAAGAGCATTAATATGACAAACAGAGAAATTGCAGAGTGTAATGATGGAAGTAGATAATGAAATAATGTAGCATGTTAAGGGGATCATAATTCTTAATTAGTAGCAACAAAACTTAGAACAGAGAAAAGACATCGTACACCACCCAACGCAGCCGGTGGGAAGGGAGGGGCTGCAAGGAGGGGGCAATAATTAAAAAGGACGGCATTGTAGGAGCAAGAATAAAAGTTTTATCCCTTAAAGTAAAATCAGCTATATGAATTATATATCTTTAAATACATCATTCATCAATATGAAACGAAGGAAATATATATATATATATATATATATTTTTAAAAAAGATCACAGTGTTTAAGAATAGTGATTCAAACAGTGAAAAATTATACTTCTTACTTATTAACTTATATTGATGTGTGTGTGTATTGACCAACGGGGAATCAGGAATGAGGTTCCAAGTTATAAGACAGCTTATCCTGAAAGTCCCGTCCCATTTGCCAAATGATAGCTGGAAATGAATTCATCTTCATGCTATGCAGATTGATAGCTCCAAGCCGCTGATGGTAACTGGGCATGCTGTTGGGGGATCCATTGCTTCTCTCTTCACTCTGTGGCTGTTAGATAACCTCACCACTGGCTCAGGTAGGAAACACTTACCCCTCTGCATCACCTTTGGCTCACCCCTTTTGGGTGATACACACCTTCAGAAAGCCATTTCACGGAGCCCTTTCTGGAATTCATGCTTTCTCCACGTGGCCTCTCTCCAGGACCCTCTTCCCAGGTTCCTCATTTCAACCAATGTGTACAAGCCATTCGGAACATTTCTCTTGTGCTCTGAACAAGGCTCTGCTTGTTTCAACGACCCTGAATCTATTCTGGAACTTTTAGCAGAAATGAAGCCCGCCCTGAGTGATCCATATGATCAAAAATTTCACATTCATCAGTATTCAGACATTGTCCAAAATCTCCACCGCAAGGTTATTTGCAAGGCTTTTGCTTCACAGCCCCAAAGCATGGCTCATTGTGATTCACTAGAAGCAGCTATAATCATTCAGCTTGCAGCACTAAGCCTTTCACAAATCCAGCAGGTACGCATCTCTCTCTGGCAGTGCCAGTCACTGTTGCTTGATATTTTCTAACCGAAACCATCACTTGTCACCGACACTGACAGGACATGGTGGAAAAGCTGAAGCTGCCCGAGATCACATTGCTGAAGAAGAAGAAAGATTTGGATCCGTCCAAGAGATTGAATGACGTGAAGATATATATGGCCAATATCGAATGGTACAAAAAGTTCTCCAAAGCTCAGGAGACAGGAATGTACGACATGTACAAGAAGCATAGAAATGAAAGAGACCAGGAAATTGTTTGGTGGAAGAAAGAGCTCACACTTTACTGGAGAGAAATGGTTGAAGAGGCAGAGACGAAGCCTCAAAAGGAAGGAGCTGCTTTTCGCACCCGCTGGCTCTATGCTGGAACAAATTACAGAAGAATGATGGAGCCACTTGACATTGCTGACCACTACGAAAGGGGTGGAAAAAACTATGAGACTGAAGGAAGGTCCATACATTACCGGCAGCTAGAGGAATGGCTCAAGGAAGACAGAACGCCTTCACCTGGGGGATTATCATGCACTACGAACAAACAGAACGTGGAATCAATTCTGACGCTGGATTCTTCTTTCTGGGCATGCGTGGAAGAGGCTCTCATTGCTTGCAGGGACATGAAGAGCCGTGAAGAATCTAGTACTATGCAGAAATTAAGTGAGTTTGAAGAATATGTTTATGGGTCGCTCAAGAATTATGCAGTTTCGCCTGAGATTTTCTTGAAGCACAGCACCTACATGCGTTGGTGGAATGAGTATCAGCTGCTCAAGGAGGCATCCAGTGATTCAAAACTCGCTAGCTTCATGAAAAACCCTGACAATTACAAGCTCTATTCTATAGGGCTTTTTGATTTCCAGTGAAGTTTGACTGTTGAAGAATTGCGAGCATAAGTAATAATGAAGTAGTACAATGAATGCTTTGATTGGATTCCTCTAAATATTAAAAAAAAATAAATGCTTTAATAAAAGTTTGGATAATTCATTTTGAGACAGTTAGTGCTTTGGTACAAGTTTGGGAAGTTTATTATGAGTTTATATCATGACTTTCCTTAATCTACACTAGTAATGGAAGTATTTGTTTTGTTGTTGTCATTATTTCCCCCCCTAAATTATATACTCTACACGAACCCTCCTCTCCCAGAAGAAGCTGCAGTTACACAGAGAGAGAGAGAGAGAGAGAGAGAGAGATGCAACATTGAGGAATGAGGAAAATGAAGATATAATATATAATGCAGCAAATCTGAAGATGCTGCCAAAACTGTCATCTTCATGCTCCTAACTGGCCTTCAAATCCAGCCTCGTCTACCATTGAGATTCTTGACTCTTTCTTAAAAGGCCTAAAGAATTAAGATCAGCTGCTGGAGGCACGGACCACAGACCAAATGGCTATAAATTAATAATATAATAGTACTTTAAAAGATAAATAATTTTCTGTTCATCAGATTACACATGTCACAAAGAGCATGCATGATAATAAATAGGTTTTTAAATTAGACAGGAGGAGACATGCATGGAGGTAGAGCCGGCTAGCACATGCAGCGAATTACAGAGCCGATCATCGCATGCGCCTGTCCCAGTCCATCTTTTATCTTAATGTATTATCAACATTACAGGTTACACCCAATGGCCGGCTATGCTAATTCAATTTTGCGTAGCAGCGGACTTATCTGGATCTGTATGTACTAAGTAGCTTCTCTTTTGTAGGTCCGACATGCAATTTATAGTACTAGTACTTGTTTCCTTTCTAATAACTATTTTTGTATTTTTGCTTTCAATGGCAAACAGTTGTGTCTCGTATTATACTCCCAGCGAAGAAATGGCTGATGGAATATTTATTTTCTGACAAAGCTGGTGAATTTACAAAATTCATGTATGCAACGGATAACCTAAGGTGAGAATGAACTCACATTCAAGTTTAGCAGTTTTTTTTTTTCCCCTAACCTGGATTCGAGTTTAGCAGTTGGATAATTATCATGTTGTGATTCCTTTTCTCCTCCAAACTCCCAAGTCCCCACTCGACCATAACCGTACCGTGTTAACGTTGTTACGTAGTGATGTTATAACTGCCCAGCGCAGTAAAGGGCCCTCTGCATTGGCAATTTTACCTGTTGCACGTGTCACCATTCTAGTGGCTCTCTACGATGGAGTCATGAAGAACGCGACCGAACACCCTGGCATGGAGTAGGCCCTACTCCAGGGCCCCCCGGAGGCCCGGACAGCTAAAAGCACGCATCCCGTGGATGATGGTCCAGGGCATGGGGCGTATGTTGCCTCCCCCCTCTCTCTCCCCCCCCCCCCCAGGTCCTTCTTAATTGCACTTCCACTTTCTTCCTTAATTGCCCCCCCCTCTCTCTCTCTGCAGCCACCGTCACTTCTGGAGATTGCTCTGTGACTGTACTGAAGGCTTTCAATGGAGGGAGCAACTATTGTCGCGCTCTTCGTCGCAGTTGTATCCCTTGTACTTGTAAGACCGTCAGAGTCAAGACTCAGCCTCGACTACTACAAACATTCTTGCCCCCAGTTCACCAAAATCATCCAAGACACCATCACCAACAAGCAGATCACCAGCCCCACCACCGCCGGTGCTACCCTCCGCCTCTTCCTCCATGACTGCCTCGCCAACGGCTGTGACGCCTCTGTCCTCATCTCATCCACTTTCTTCAACAAAGCTGAGCGCGACGCCGACATCAACCTCTCCCTCCCCGGCGACGGCTTCGATGTCATAGTTCGTGCCAAGACCGCTCTCGAGCTCGCCTGCCCCGACACAGTCTCCTGCGCCGACATCCTTGCCGTCGTCACTCGAGACCTCGTCACCATGGCCGGCGGTCCCCATTACAGTGTCTTCCTAGGTCGAAGGGACAGTCGCATCTCCAAGGCTTCTGCTATAGAAGGCCATCTTCCGAAACCGACAATGTCGATGTCGCAAATCATCGAGATCTTCGCGGCCAAAGGGTTTTCCGTCAGAGAAATGGTGGCTCTGAGCGGAGCACACACTATCGGGTTCTCGCATTGCTCTCAAATTAGCAACGACATTTACAATAACAGCAAGCTGTCGCAATACGATCCTCAATACAACCCTCGATTTGCGGCGGGCCTGCAGAGAGCGTGCGGCGATTATAAGAAGAATCCTACCCTGTCGGTGTTCAATGACATTATGACCCCCAACAAGTTCGATAACATGTACTTCCAGAACCTGCCGAAGGGCCTGGGGGTTTTGAAATCGGATCGCGGGCTGTACAACGACCCGAGAACGAGGCCGTTCGTGGAAGAATTCGCAGTGGATGAGAACAAGTTCTTCCAGGCATTCGCACAAGCAATGCAAAAGCTGAGTCTCGTTGGAGTACAGACAGGGAGAAAAGGAGAGATCAGGCGCAGGTGTGACCAGATAAATTGATTTGATGTTAATTAATTCTTAATTTGGTGGTTTGCGAGAATCAGATAGAAATACTGATACGTGTGTCTGAGTGTAGTATGAAGGGATGAGAGTGATCCTGCATGCGTGGTTTGCTTTTGTGGAAGCTGCTTTTGTTCGCGTCCAGAATAGATGAGTTATGGTATTCAATAAAGCTCCTAACTTTTTTTGGTTTTATTTTGGAAGCTGGCGTTTGTGTTGATTTGAGCGAATAAAGTTGCTAGTTTATTAATTGAAGTTGATTTAGTGTGGATTTGTCTGGGAAGAGCGGGTGGTTTCAATTTTTGAAGTATAGCAGGATACTATGATTAATTGGTTAATTCTAGACCTTACAGCAGTGAAAGGCCATGCAAACATTAATCGAGTCGGAGCTTTAGACGAATAAGAAAGGGTGTGCATTTACAGGCCCACAAAAGACAAAGCTTTTAAAAAGTTGAATCGTTTTTAAAATTTAAAGAATAAAAAATTGAATTTTTGTACGGGTGAATTAAAAAAATGTCTTTATAATAACAAAACCTGGATTGTGAAATCATGCTTCAAAAAAAAAAAAAGAGATATATTATATTATGATTAGTTTTGATTTAATGTAGAATTCTAAAAGGTTAAGGGATAAAAAAATCTCAAATTTTTTTTGTTTGAAATAAATACTGAGTATTCTTTTCTTTTAAAAGGGTTAATGTTATCCTAAAAATTTAAGAAGTAAAGCAATTTTGTCTTTTTGCAAAACTAATGAAATGCTAAAAATCAAGATTTGCAAACCATGTGGTAGAATGCTAAATTGACATGGCATTTAAAAAAAAAAAACAAATTCAAAAAATGAAACGAAGGTTTCACGGAAGCTCTGTGAAATCATCAGCCACCTCCTACCTCTCTCTTATTCAATTCATGATTCACACTCAAGAAATCGCCCATGCTCATTTCTTCACTCATTGCACTATAAAATCTCCAATATGAAAATCCCTCTCATTCAAAACCACAATCCAATCATGGAAGTTGATTTCGATTTGGCCTGATCTCTCTTCGACCCCTCCTGCTTTTCAATGCTGACGATCTCATAGCCTGGGCCACTGATGAATGAAGGGTCAAATTCTGCACCTGGAAACCCAACATGAGCAAAGACGTCGTTGTTGATTTCCTAATTTCATCGTCGAGAATGTGGCGTCTCAGAGAGTTCTATAGAGGCTAGTTTTTTTAATTTTTTTTTTAAATGCTAGGTCAATTTATCATTCCACATGGCTTGCATGTATTGGGTTTTAGCATTTCATTAGTTGAACGTTAATCAACCATTGAAAAACGGAAAAATTGCTATGCTTTTTAGACTTTTAAAACAGCATTGCCTCTTATAAAAAGTAAGGATACGAAACATTCATTTCAGAAAACTTTCAGGATATTTTTACTTCTTAACCCAATTTTTAATAGTGTTTTAGAATAGTTGATGTATAGTATGGAGTATTTCCTTGTATTGATGGATAATGTATGGAACAGAGAGCGATGCCACTAGTGTGAAGATATGGTGAAGTTTGTGGCCGTTTTGGGAAGATAATAATGGTGGAGGGTTGAGATTGGAGACAGCAAGCTCGAATTTTGGGGGAGCTCCCTGTCCCACAAAGAAGCAGGTTTAGTGGGCAACGCATGTGGCTGCTTCCCTTATCTTTAATCATTCTTCATGCCTCCTATTATGCTCTTCCTCATATAATAACTCCTGATTCCTTCATCTGCCCGGCGAACATAATAACAGTCAGTACTAACAGTTGCGGTGTATACACACACACACACACACATTTTAACTGTGAATAGACATGTAGAAAATCAGTGTTGTTTAAGAATAGCTCTAAAGCTTCACTTATAGATTCCTTTTCAGAGTTTAGGTGTTTCTTGAATTCAACGTGGGCAATTACGTTACTAACTCTCTGTCTGGTTTGAGATGACTGGAATGGGGAAGAATTTTTTTTTTTTTAGTATGATTTGGAAAAATAGAAAAATGAGATTACAATTTTTTTAATTAATTTTTTCTACTATTTTCTCATACATGTTCCTTACATTAAAAAAAATTATAATGTCACTTGTTAATTTTTTTTTTAAATTAAACTTATTAAGCTTCCTCCCTCTTTTCAAGAGAGGTCAGAATTTTTGGGTCTTTGGAGTCCATCCATATTGTATTTTGCAACATCACTAGATTTTTTTTTTTTTTACATGGTAGTTAAATTTGGAAAATTACTCATCAACCAATATAGGTTAATGTACAATTCACGTGTAAATATTAACATTCCATTTTTCCTTTATTGATTAATTTTATTCCCAATTATCCCTACCCACGATTTTTAGCAGGAAGAAATAATAATGGATAATTAATTAATAACAAGGGCTGAGCCGCTGAAGTGGTCAAAGCCAAGTTAAGGAGCGCTGACCGCTGACCAGGATCGATATGTATTGTTTTGCTGACACACACACACACACGCACGGGCGCACACACACACAAACCAGTATCGACGTTGATTACATATTATATTTAGCGGGCCATTTATCAGAAATTTTCCTTTTCCTTTTGCGTTCCCTTTCCCTTTTTAAACGCAAGCGCCCTCTTCCGCCCACACAAAGCGTGGATTCTTCTACCTCGTCAGCCCATATACTAGCTACTAGTGGGCTAATTTGACCCAGAGTTCCCTTTAATGGGCTTGATAGTTTGGCCCAATTTTCAGTTAGCTTCAACCAACCTCCAATTATTTTCTCAAGCAATCTTAAAATTACGATTTTTAAAGTTAATACACCCCGCATGCAATGGATGAGATAAATTATAAATGCATAAAATTGTTATCGAGAACATGATTCAATCCGTTGCTATGAATTTATCCCATATATTGCTTTAAATTTTTGAAAAAGACATGGGTTGCTCTGGATAGTTTGATACCTAATTTCTTTTGGAGTAATTCTACGAATGGGGAAAGCATCCACTAGAAGGCATGGCACAATCTCACTGGACCCAAGAATCATGGGGGGCTGGGACTTAAGGATCTTATGGTATTTAATGATGCACTCTTAGCGAAAACAGCCTAGCGTGTATTGCAACATCCTGATAGTTTGTGTGTCCAGCTACTTAAGAGCATATACTTCCCCTATTTTTTCACTTATGAAGGCAAAAAAAGGTCTTAAGGCTTCTTGGATGTGAGATAGTATTCTTACTGGACGAGCTTTTCTAAGAAAAAATTTATGTTGGCAAGTCGACATTGGCCATTATATTGATGTGTGGAAGGATATCCCTGGGTGCTTGGAGTTTCTAAATTCTTATTGCCAAAGTAGAGGATGCTGTTATCAATAATGATATGGTAGTGGCAGAACTTATTCATGACCATCAATGGAATTTGTAAGCAATGCAACAAGCCGTGGAGGCCACTTTTCTCCAACTCATTTTGATTGGGGCTATTCACGGGCGGGTATAGGTTACCCGTAGCCTTACCAATTACCTCCTGTTTTTTGTTAAATAGGTGGCCACTCGCTTATATCAACATATACCTGCTTGTACTTGTTTTAAAACGATTGTGGGCAAATATAGGTCGCCTGTTTAACCTCCAGCATCCACACATCCATATGTCCAACAAATTCATATGCCTAGCAAATTCTAGTCAAGTTCCAATAAAATCAAGAAATCACATATTGAGAAAATTCCTGGCTCCATTATTATGATGTTATCGAGTACTAACCATAACACCACAAAATCACAAATATTTTATTCCTTTAAAATCACAAAAACAAGAAGTGGGATTCAACCATTCAAGGATTCATAAGAGTAGAAGAGGAAGGGAGGGAGCAACCAAGCAATAAATACCTAACTAAGGAAGGGAGGCCGATGATGTAAGTAGAGGGAGGAGATGCTAAGAAGAAGCAAGAAGAGCGATGCAAAAGTGCAAGTGTTTGACTACAGTATCGAGCTAAGTCTATGCACTATGTCTTGCATCGCCGTTGTGTGACTGTGTTCTACTTGGCTAAGAGAAGTGTGGTTGTGCATCACCATCATGCAACTATGGTCAATGAAGGCAAGGGTGAGGCTAAACTCTAAAGGTCGTATCTTGTATGGGTGTGGGTTAAAGGTAAGGAGAATGAGTAAAGTTTCTCTCATCTTGAAGCTTGAACAGTTAAGGCTTGGGTAATAGGGACATAGGGTGAGATAGTCAGTGATTGAGTGGTGAGGGTTGGGGGATTTTGATTAAAAAAATGGCCAAAAGAAATTAAAAAAAAAAAGTATATAGGAGGCCTTACCTGTTACCAGCCTATCTTTTGCTAAATGGGTCATACTTGTTTCCCTTCTTCATTTTACAGGAATGGGTTGACCCGTTTAGCAATGGGTTGGGAGGGTACGCAGGTGAAATGCTTACCCTTAATTCAGACTATACCTTTTTGTAGACACAGGAGGGATGATAAATTAATCCGAGCAAGGGCTAAAGATGGAAAGTACAATATACGTCTGGGTTATCAGGAAGCTTTAAAGGATATAGTGACTACTGATGTTCTTTGCCAGCTGAGCTCTTCAAGTTCTATGGACAAGTGCATTTGAAAAGCAATATAGGGCTTATACATGATGCCAAAAAATCATATCCTTTATATGAAAGGCCTTGCATAATACTCTAGCTTAAGCCTTTCCAGACTCGAACTGGGCCCAATCCAAAAGACCCCCGAGAGGGTGGGGTGAGGGCTATTACATAAATTGACTCAATGGTATCAGACTTAGCCTCAATTTCCTTAAGGCAATAGAGGTTGAAGGTTTGAGTCTGAAAAGACTCCAAAAGATCTTTTTGGTGGGGTGAAGAATAACTCAAGTACCACCTTGGGGAAAGCCGGCCTCCGCTGCAGTGATGTGAATGGGCTCAGTCCAAAAGACCTTCGGGAGGGTGGGGTGAGGGCTGTTACACAATGACTACTGATGCTCTTTGCCAGCTAAGCTCTTCAAGTTCTATGGATAAGCGTATTTGAAAAGCAATATGGGGCTTATACATGATGCCAAAAAATCATATCCTTTATATGAAAGGCTTTGCATAATGCTCTAGCTACAAGAGAAAACTTATACCAACGAAAATGTGCTGCAAACCCACTCCGCTCTGTCTGTTGGGAAGAGGTGGAAACTATTGAACATCTTCTCCTTTGATGTAAATGGAATTAGAGTTGAAATGCATTATGTGAAAGCCTATGTAGCTACCATGTGTTGGTTTATTTAGAAATCCAAATCTAAGCAAGTATTTGAACACATAGATCCTGATCCTGTACAGGTTATTGATAAGTGGAAAAGGCCAAAAAATGGGGTTGTCAAGATCAATTGCGATGGTGCTTTCTGTGGTAGAAGTGGGAAATCTGGTATTGGTGTGGTTTGCAAAACATCGGCCGGTCAATTTATTAAAGGGTGGACAGAAAATGTACTAGTTGTTTCACCATTCCATGCCAGAACTAATTACAGTCTACACATCTATATGTTTGTCTGAGGAGTGGGGCCTTGCCAACACGATCATTGAAATGGATTTCAGCGATCTGTTTAAAGCAGTAACTATGCAAGCTTTCTGATTCTGTTGGCAATACCAAAATATTCTCATTCATATGTCTGACTTGTTGATGGATCGAAGAATGATTTCTTTTTCTCTCATTCCCGGTTCAGGTAATGCTGTCGCCGACTTCTTGGCTGCTATGGCTTCAAGCGAGATGGGACCTGCAGGTCTGGTTTTACTACCTCCGTCTCCTCTAGTATCTATCATTCTTCGTGAAGCAGACAGTGCAAGCATATTTTGTGCGGACCAACTTGTTGCAGAGGCAAATAGGGAAGGAATTGGTTGAGAACACGTGTTGCTTTGGGATCTTTTTTAATAGTTGCTATCTGTTTATTTGGTTTGCCTTTTGTTATTGTCGAACTTGGTTTCTTTCTGCCTCTTAATGGATGCCTCTTTATTGGTAAAAATAAAAAATAAAAAAAAATCCGTTTCTTGTTTTTCTGCCTGCTAATACCCGACTTTCAGGATTTGTATTGAAAAGAATGTGAATGGATAATTTGAAGAGTTAGGGAAAGGATAAGAAACGCAGAGAGTAGCTTAATATGAAAACGGGATTCTAATATCTAAAGTAAAGTAGTTTTTAAAAGTAACACTTAAGTTTCGGTTTCTTGCTTTGTTGAAAACAGATCCATTTTGACAAACAAAGGAGAAGTCCAAAATCAATGATTGACGGATAACAGTTAACAATTGACAAAGAAACTCACCTTTTCCTGATTTCGGGTTGTTAATTTTAACGCCACGATGGTTATTACTTTTAGTTACTTCCAGTTTAAAAGTGCATACGTGTGTACTGGCGAGCAGCGCATATAACTTTTTAAAGCCCACTGTATTGATCTTGTTATTTACATTTAAAATATTTTTAAATAAAAATCAAGAAAAGATAAACCCACAAACAACGTCCTTTCCCCCCTGACCTTACATGATTGTGCAGACTGGGATCCTATATCCAAATGTAAGACTAAATTATATTTCTCTCGTTTCGTCAGTCTCTCTTTTATTATGATTTGTTGCGCATCACACATATTATATTTATAATTTGTAAATTACATAACTCATTACAAATTTTATTATGGGTACGTATTGATAGATTTGCTTTACATGAAAACGAGGATTCATTTGAAAATATGCATATACCCATAAATTGTTTCATATACTTGTATATATTATAAGCCATATCATATCATATTCATAAATTATGTATTTTATGACTCATTTTTTAAACATCATAAAAACACAGAGCAAAGCATCAAGCATGCATATATATATATATATATAAAATATAAAAGTTATATCATTTATGGATCATAAAAATATAATTTATTCTTTTTTGATCGAAAATATGCAACTCAATCTTTAAATTATATATACGATGTAAATTATGTACAACATATTGCATGGTTTCCAAAATAAGCAAGGAAAAAGAGTGTGAAAGGCAGCTAAAGCGTAAAGAGATGCACGTTCCACGTGGAAAGATCAAAGAACCAAGAACCAAGAACCAAAACGTGGGTTCTTAAAAATTTGAAAACTATAACCAAATTTTTTTAAAACTTAAATATAATTTAAAATTAGACTGTAAAAATAATAATATTTTTATTAAATATATATTTTTAATAAACATATATTATATCAATTAAATAATTAATTTATAATTACTTTATCAGTAATTTATAATTATAGTTTTATTTCTTACAACTATAACTTCACATATTCTATAGTTAAATAATCATGTGTTACGAGCAAAAGTTTAATATTAATTATTTATAATTATTTTATTAATAATTTATAACTATAACTTCAACTTTATATAAATATAACTTTACATATTCAATAATTAAATTGATTAGTTTAATTATTGGATGTATGAAATTATAATTGTAAAAACTTAAAATTATAATTATAAATTATTAATAAAGTAGTTGTAAATTATGTGTGTGATATAATGTATATATATTTAATAAAAACATTATTATTATTTTTTATTTTAATTTCAAATTACATCCAAGTCTCAAAGGATGTAATTGTAATTTGTGAATTCTATAAGATTTATTTATAAATAAGTTTGTTGCACAAAATTTATATGTAATTTTTTTATTTTGAGAGGGGGTGGGGACATGCCTTTTCTAAGCGTCAACTTTGTTTCCCACACGCAACTGAAAAAGAAAATGCAATGGGCAATGCTCCTTTAATAGTTCAGGTTTCACATTATGAATTGTTATTGTTATTTTGTATGAAAGGGAAGGAAAAAAAATAAAGGTAAAAAGTAAAATGCTGGAATAAAGCCACCAGGCATATGCCACTCCAAAAATCCACTCTTTATTACAAAATATTCCTTCTATTATGCGCCATCACTTCCCTCTGGGTTCGTGGTTTTAGCCTTTTGGGCTCCCACGTACAACTATTTCCAACCCACTCTCCGAGTCACCAAGTCTTTATATTTTTAAGCATTGATAGAGTCTATGTTGAGCTGGTATTTCGGATGAGCCAAGCTTATTGGGCTGGGCTTTGGTTCGTCAGAATTTATAAAAAACCCGAATAAATAACCTTGGGAATCTGATCTTTTGTTGGTGTCGTTGGATTGTTAGGAGGGAAAATATCGTGCCACGTCACCCAACTCAAGTGGCGGGAGACACCATGGTTCGACGAGACGTTGCACAATCGTAGTGCTAACCTCGGCTTCAGTGGAGGAATAACCACAGTTATGATTTATGAACACCGTTCTTTTAGCTTTTGGAAATTGGAATCATTCTCCATACAGAAGAGAGAGGCCTAGGACCCGAACAAGCAAGAGAAGAAGAAGATGAAAGGAAGAAACTTTCTCCACTTGAAAACTTCTAGAACTATAATTATACTATAGTCTCTCAATCTCAACAAGGCAAACGTCAAGAATTTAAGGAGTTATTTGAAATTATTTTCATTTTATTATTATAAAAATTAATGTTTTGTAAAATATGTCTTAAAAATAAAAATAATAATAAAAATAAATATTTTTTTTCATCCTTCCTTATTCTTCAAAACAATAATTACATAACACTTAAAAATTATTTTTATTTTTTTATTTTTTAAAATAATATTTTATTTTTTATTTTTTAAAATACTTTTTGAAAATTCGTTTCTAAATAAATTTTTTTTATTTTGAAAAATAAAAAACTATTTTCAGAACATATTTTCAAATAAGTCCTAAACTTTTTGTAGCCATACCTGTAGTTCAGAAGTATAACGTCAAAGGAACTAAAGAAAAATCAATTTTAAATTTGATGCATAACTTGATTTACATACTTTATTCAAGTTTTATTATAAATTACTGTATTTTTTTAATATTTTAAATTTTCATATTTTTCTTATCGACACCTTATATCCTTTCACAATCAATGTTATAAGAATTTATAATATAAATTAAAAAAATTATAAAAACTTAAAATATTGATAAAAAATATGAAAATTTATAATAAAATTTGAATAAAGTGCATGAACTGAGTCTATAATTTTTTTTGGGAGAATCAACTTATTTTTCTCCCGTATGTAATATGAGGAGAAAAAGAAAACGCAGAAAGAAGGCCCCCGGCCCCCGGCAAGTGAGCCAGCAAAAACAAACAATTTACAGTGAACAAATAAAAAGGACAAGAAAAAAAAAAACTAAGACTGTACTCATGACTCGGCCTAGTTACCAGTTCACTCGCCCGACAAGCAACGGGTCCGACTCAGACTACTCAACCCCGAGTCAAGAAGCGCCTCCCAGTCGACATCGTCCTCTTCGGCTTCCTCCTGCACTCTCATTGTCTCCAATATCCTTTTCACCTTCTCTCTAGCCCTCTCGGTTCCCACCTTCTCCACCTTCTTCAACACCTCCACGACCCCCGCCGCCGTCCCCACCGCTTTAAACCTCAATCCGCCCTGACTCAATGCATACAACACCGCCACGCAGCTCTCCCGGGTCGACCCGGAACCCAAGTCGCCACTGCTCAACAACCCCGCCAAGCACTCCACCGCCTGCGCATCCAACATTGCCGCCCGCCCATCCCCGCAAGACGCTAAGTTGCATAGTATGAGCAGCACGTGACCCCTCATTTTACCCGACTTTAACATGCTCATCAGGATCGGCACCGACCCGATTTTTACCATCTTGGTCCGGTTGCTCTGTACGAGGGAAAGGTGGTAGAGCGCGAGCGCCGAGTCATTCCGCGTTCGCTCGTTCTCGGATTGAAGCAAGTGGAGCAGCGGCGGCAGAGCGCCCAGCACGCCGATTGCAGTCTTGTTATCGTCGTGAATGGCCAGGCTGAAGAGTGCACCGGAAGCGTGTTCCTGCACCTCGGGGGATCCGCCCTTCAATACGTCAATCAATGGAGGAACGATTCCGGACCGGAGTATCTTTACTTTGTTCACTTTCTCCAGTGAGAGGTTCACCAGAGCTGCCACCGCGTTCACCTGAATATTAGTGTGCTTGGACACGATTAAGGATCGAAGGACGGAGAGTAAACGAGGACTGCAGAGATAGGCCCTCGTATCCTCTCTGGTTTTCGTGAGCTTTCTGAGTGAAATAATGGCTTCTTCGATCTCGGACACTTGCGAGCTCTTCAACTTCGCCAAGGTTTCCTCTTCTTCGTGTGAGCTAGGAATTATGATTTCGATTTCTGAGGATGAAGCAGAGGAGTAGCAGCTCGGTCGACTTGAAAGTTGCATTGGCGGAGATGCAGGAGAGGAAGCCGCCGATTCCTCTGAGTTCCAGTACGGGTGTGCTGGCCGTCGAGTGACCTCAGTCGCAGCGTGATTAAAGTTCACTCTTGGGTCCTTCATTCCTTGAATCAGCTCTTCCTCTGTGATTACTGCCTTCTGCGCCTCTATTTTGTTCTGGACACTTGAATCTGTCTTCCGGGTCTTCATCATTAGTCCATGCACGAACCTCTCAGAAGAAGAGACATCAGGCGGCTCGGGAGGGAGGTTGGCGGAGTCCTGACACCATTTAGCAATGGCAGATTTGAGGGCAAGGTTGGGAATTACAGTAGAAAAATCAGGAGTGGAGCCATCGGAGAGCAGTGGTGTGAAATTTAAATTTTTACAAGCTTGAACAGAGACTCGTTCGAAAGTATGGCCAGAGGAGATGATGACGGGGTCTGCCATAAGAGACCCCGAGATAGGACAGAGAAATTCCTCCGGGGCCTGTTTCTTTTCATGTTTTGAATGCTTGGAAGGGAAGGTCGACGACGACCTGTAGAAGATCTTCCATTTCCGGCCGGGGGTGACGGCGTCGTTAAATTTCTCTGGTTCTGTTGCCTTGTGAGAAACCCGATTCTTCTGTATGGATCCGTGGACCACGAAACTCACAGCGTCCTGAAACTCCATGTTTTTGCCCATCGTCGAGACGTTCAAAGGCGCGTGGCGGAGCAGAGCAGGGCTATGACTAGTTCAGAACTTTACCACAAAATCGGATTATGAAATCCCGGAACGTTTAGGGACATTGGTTTCGAGGAGCGTTGGGCATTGGATGGGACTCGGGAAGAGCAAGCCAAGGATGCTAGAGAATGATTGTCCGTAGTTGTTCCGAATTTTTTTTAACAGAAGTATTTATATTTTTAGACCAATCTAGGTCAGAACCCTTCCGAGGAAAAGCTCTGCTATCAGTATCAACACTGTATTCCTAGATTTTAAATTTAAAATCTCTAATTAAAATAATACAGTTAAACTAAGCGTATAATAGTTATAATATATATATATTTTTCAAAAACAAAGAAACAAATATGTACTGTGAAATTAAAGTAATTTAAATCACTGGCTCTCTTCACATATATTATGTGAAACCAATTGATGCAGAAGTAGAAGTGAGACACTAAGATGAGAGAAAATAGCTGATCATTGATCAAGGTTTAGCTTTGTTTCACAATTGAGGAAGAAAAGATATGTGATGCCTATGAATTTAGAATGAGATTAAATTATTGTATGGAGGAATTACAGCTGAATATCATCTGCTGATCGATGATGAGTTGATAAAATTGAACATATTGCGTTGGACACGTGATTAATAGGATCAGTGTGTGGTGGTAACTGGAGAAGCTCCCATGTGATAACTCAGTCCATCCCCAGCTATGACCAGCTTTAGCATATCTCAACAACTTTGGCCTTTTGGTCTTTTTGTTCTGTACAAAGCTTCTTGTTTGTTTCCCACGCCTGCACAGATCTCACACGGCTCTGATTCAAGCAACCAACCATGTTCCTACAATTCTGGTGTTGGGATCATGAGCACCCTCTCTGTTCTCCATTGTACTAAACACACAAAATCGTTAATGACCCTGACATACCCTTCTTATTCAATCCTGTTTTTGCATGAAAGGTAAATATTTCGGCTAAAAGAGGTTTTATTTTTACAAGGTACCTGACTGAAGCGTTGGGGTCCTCTGCAAATAAAAGATAAATGAATAAGCACACAAGCTGCATTCTGAGGATTGAAAACGACGTCAGGTGTTGAAAATTACCAGGATCTCTCTTTTTTTAGCTGTGTGTGTATATAATACAATGCTCGGGGTGATTAATTAATTGACTTAGATGAAACCACTTATCTACCTGCATCAAAAAGACAAGGGGGTGTTTTCTCGGTGTTGGGTGGGCCGAGGTGTTCACTTTAGCATTTTAGCTTTTAGAAGTGAGGAAAAGGGAAATGGGATCTGGCAGACAAGCATTGGCAGGAGAGCGAAGAATTTCCAACGCACAGTACCCACAAATTGCATAATTATTGGATCCTTAATGGCCAAGTTTCTTTTGAGGGCTTGCTTAATTGAACCCTTTATGAGTGTCCTAGGCTGGACGTACATCTATCTCCTCCTTTTCTAAAAGTGATTGCTTACTTTTTCCTTCCCTGTCCCACCCTCACCCCATCTCATCTTCCTCTCTTTCTCAATACAAAAATATTCTTCTTGTTTCTTCTTCTTGGTTTTTTTTTTTTAAATCATGTTTCTCTCCTATGTGCGTACATGGGAGTGTCCCGAATTAATGATCGCAGCTCATTATATTACTTGTCTGGAGATATTATGCATTATTAATATTATTATTAATCGGTGGTTTGCATTGTATTACACTCCTTCATCAAAGTGTCGAAGTTTAGGACGTGGTGGGGTATCAATTGCAATCACTCTTTGCGGTTTGGGACATTCATAGATTTGTCTTTGTTTTTACATATGCCTGTTCATCATGTGAAGCTTTCCATGAATCAAAAGAAAGGCATGCCTTTTAACTTTACAGTTTGTTAATGCATAATTTCGGTTGCTAATAGTCAACATGTTCATTCTTTTAATCTTTTTATTGCCGTTGAAAATTGAGGTCCAATGTGAGATTTATCTTTAACATATTCGGATGAATGTTAAAGTCCAAGTCCCCTTAATTTGATTTTTTTTTTTTTTGGAAATGGGAAGCAATCGTATGCTTCATGTAAATAAAAATTAAATGAATATCAAATGCGGGTAAATTGATGCTTGATTAGAGTTTGGGATAAATTCGAAAAATTTGTTATCTTTACAATTTATATTTTGATTGACATCTGAACATATTATCTTCGTTTGTATCTCCCACTGAAATCTCAACTTGTCCAGTATTATTGTATAATATAAATTTATACAATAAGGGTAAGATTCGATCGTCATATTTAAGAGGCCCATTTATGAACAAAAAATATCGAGTTATATGTGAATTTATTGTTTTTATATCATATAATATGAACAAGGACAAGCTATGAAAGATAAAGAAAAATATTATGATAGAATGCCTACCAATTTAGACATGCCCGCAAAAAAATTGAGATATTATGAGATAGGAATAAAGTAAAATAAAAAAAGAAGGGAAAATGATAATAAAATCTTTGTAAATTATATAAATATTAATTTTATCTCTTAAAATACTATAATATCACTAAAGTTTATAGGAATCTTTTTGTTAATAACTTTTGTAAGAAAAGGGTCATTTTACCTTTATTGATATTATTATTTTTTGTTCAATTATTACACTTTTAAAAAAAATTATAATTTTTTAAACAAAAGTTGTGAATAGAGTTTATTATTTTAAAAATTTATTTTTTAATAATAGAAATTATACTTGATAAATTATGATTTTTTGTTCAATTATTGCTATTCATAGAACAAAAGTTGTTATTTCTTAAAAAAATAATGATTGAGGCTTTTTTTTTTGATAATATAATTATATTTAATAAATTGTTATTTCTTATTCAACTCTTACAATTTATAGAACAAAAGTTATAATTTTTTAAATAAAAGTTATGATTGAATCTCATTATTTTTAGTAAGGATAAAATAATCTTTAAAAAAAATTACTAACAAAGAGGTTCCTAAAGACTTTATTGATATTATGACATTTTAAAATATCAAATTATTATTTATATAATTTGAAAAAATTCTATTATCATTCTCCCAAAAAAGATTGATATCAGATTAGAGTGTCTCACTCTTGGATGCTTGACTTAAGATTAGAGCCAATAATTTGAGCAAAACTCGATGGGCTAGCTCAATCGTGCCTGAAAAAAATTAGAATCAGGCTTAAAAAAAGATACTTTTTTATATTTAGGTCGGCCCAAATACTCGAATAAGAATATTTTATTTTTAAAAAATATATAAAATATAATATATATTAATTAATTCTTTAAGTTTTTGATCATTTTATATTAAAATACTATATATTTAAGTTCTAAACATCGTTTAAGTATTACAAAAATATATTATATATTTTTATAAAATAAAATAATTAATTTAAAAGTAAAAATTAATTAAAAATAATTTTAAAAATAAAATTTGGATATTCAGGCCGCTAAAAGCTCGAAAATATTCAGGCCGAGCTTGACTATTCAAGCTTTTTAGAGAGTCAGACTTGTTTGAATTTAAATTTATTTAAATTAAACTTATTCAAACTGAGTGTAAATAGGTTCGATCTATTTAAATTCTCAGCTCTACTTAAAGTTTTTATATTTCTACTTTCTGCACATTTCACAAAAAAAGAGTTTTCATTGCAATAAAATGAATGGGTCAACAGTTTGATTTGGAATGGGCTCCTGAAGTGGTTGCCGACCACGCAGTTGCTTCCGAAAAAAAAAAACAAAACAAAACAAAACAAAACAAAAGAGAAAGACGGCGCTTGCGTGTGGGAGTAGAATCCTCTACACGATTCTGAGAAGATACCATAACCCACACGGTTTCTTCACCCTGACTTACCCTCCAAGTCATGTCAAAACCTATATGAGCGAAACCCTCCCTCTTGCGTGTTCCAACTTCATCCGTTCCTCAATTCTCTGAACCCAGCCTGAACAACAATTATTAGCTTGACAAACTAATCAATGGCGGGCGGAACTGAAGCTTTCCCAGATTTAGGAAGACACTGCCAACATCATCATTGCAACCTCCTCGACTTCCTCCCTTTCACCTGCGACGGTTGCCACCATGTGTTCTGTCTCGAACATAGATCTTACAAGTCCCACAATTGCCCCAAATCCGACCATAACAGCCGGAAGGTTGTCGTCTGCGAAACATGTTCCGTGTCTATCGAAACCACCGGAGAAGACGACAAGGCAATCTTAGAGAGGCATGAAGAGTCCGGACTTTGTGACCCCAGGAAGAAAAAGAAACCCACCTGTCCTGTTAAGAGGTGCAAGGAGGTCTTGACGTTCTCTAATACCAGCACGTGTAAAACATGCCACATGAAGGTGTGTCTCAAGCACCGTTTTCCGGCCGACCATGCTTGTAACAGGGCCGCTTCATCTTCCTCTTCAGCTGTTAAAGCTGTTAACGGACGATGGAATGATCGGTTCTTAACTGCTCTGTCGTTAAGGAATGGAAAAGACTGTGCAAAGAGTCCTACTTCCCCGCGTCCTCCCGCTACTTCGTCTGTCAAAGCCTGCTGAGACTACTCTATCATGGCATTGTATGAATAAATTGTTCATTTGAGATGCAAGTTGCTCGGTTTTTTATTTGGTTTTATACTTTGTAATTGAATCTTCATTTCACTGTCCTATTTTTTTTAAAAAAATAATTTATAAAAGTCATTCAATTTTTAGTTTGATGCTAAACTTTGCTACTGAAGCTAGCCACCGAGTGTCAGAAATCACAATACATCTGCAATGCTCAGGAATAAACTCCGTATCTAAACAGAATGATTACATATGATACTTTTTAAAGATAATTATGCTGTTGCACGGCAATCTTTCCTAGATATTGGATATTGATGTCCATCGACCTCAACTCGTAACAGACAAAGCATTATTCATCGTCAATTTACACCCGGCGAACTAGCCAAACAGGCAGTTGAGAGATACAGGGAAATGCTCTGCAGTCTCGTCTATGTCGCAGCTATTTCACGTTGCCATCTCGCGGAGCTTGCTGTTTTAAACGGGGCCAGAGACAGAAGAATCTTCTTCCTTGGTCCCTGAAAATTCAAGCGCCTCATCTGAGAAATGAGAAGGAATCTAATACGGATGTGTTGTAGTTAAAATAATTACATCCATTTCACTTCTGCCTCTGGATCTTTCACCTCTTGTATTATCCTAATAAAGCACTCAATTTACGTTCTTATACAATCAAAAATAAAATTCAATGTAGGCTCACGTGTCCACCAAGAATATTAGAATTGTTTATCTGAACATCTCCATTAACGATGTAAGAATAGCAAGCCATATAACACACACACACACACACAGTTTTGAAGTGATATTGAAATTGCAATACCATTGGTATCCCCAAGTCTTTGAGGTCTTTGTCTCCCATTTGCTTCAACACTGTCATATCTACCTGTAGACCAGGTAATCCAACAATTAAACGAGGAACAAAACAGAAAGTACAAGTGCTGATTTAAATGGAATAATAACGGGGCGGAGATATCTACAATAGGAGCAAGGTCCTTACTTCTTCAGCACGGAAAGCGATCTCATACTTTTCCAGTCCAAGTGAATGCAAGAGACCAGAAACAGTAAGAGGTACTCCCCCCTGCGACAGCATAAAGTGAGAGACCAGACATGGAAAAAAGGGAAAGAACGGGTTAAAAGAAGACGACTACGACGACAATACTTGTGAGTTTTTCTCCCCAATGCCATTCATCTGTGCAAGTTGTCGAACTGGTTTGGCATTCTCATCAACTGTGCCTTTGAATGTGGTAGGTGTGAACCTGATGGGCATTGAAGAATGAAAAACACGAGTTGCACTTTTGGGTGAAAACCGTTGCGGGCCATCATAATTTGTCAATGAAGTCACAGCCCCAGACGAATTTAACCGGATGCCTGAAGGTCTAGCTCCGGCCTCATTTAAAATCCTAAAAGAAGTGTTAAGTTTCTGCACTGAATTCCCCACATGCATGTGATCAGCATTTTTTGTGTAGGATATTTGCCTTAGATGGAAACTTTCTTTTGCCTCAGGCATTGGCTGGAACTTGCTATTACTTGCTGATGGTAGTGCTGATTTGACTATATTTTGATTCATGTGGCCTATGTTTCGGCGTTCTTGTATTTGAAGATGCTTCGACCTTCGGCGCATTAGTTTCAATCTGAGGTCGTTTGCACTCAGCCCCATTTCTTTGCTCATCTCAAGAAAAAATATAGCCAATGAAAATGGGACAAAAATAGAGAAAGAAAAATGATAAATCTTGAATATATTATCGACGAGATCTGAGATGTTACCGTTTCCTCTGTTCTCGGGAGCACCCCAATATGTGCCATCTCCTCGCTGCCTGAAAATTCGTGTTTCATCATTACATAGCTGTAAACACATGTTCTCGCAACCACGATGAAAAATAATTAAACATGCATTCCTCTCAGGCAATAAATTGCCCAATTTTAGGACACATCGAAATTTTGTGCAGCAATGTTCCTAAGTACTAGCGTTGCAAATGTGGAAAAGAAATAAATGCTACAAGTGAGTCTTTTCAACCATTCTTATCCTCGAAATGAAAACCCAATAAGCACAAGCGCATGGTATCACAAGGAATCTAAAACGTTGTATACTCGCAAAGTCAAGACTATTCCTTAGTAAGAAAATGAAAGAATGAAACCGCACGAAGTTAGAGCAGAAAGCCAGAAACATAGCAGGAGAGAACCACCTTTTCCTCGAGACAGACGAAAGATGAGGATATATTCTTAATCCATTCCCTAGAGATCGTTTGCTTCCAGACCGCGGCCAAGCATCACAAGGTGCTTCTCTAGAGTTTGACGCTGTTCCGCCTCTCTCTACCACCTGCAAAAAATATGTAGAGTGAGATTACTATATCCATGCCCATTCAGTGACGCAAGTGCGACTCGTTCCTATAACGGGAGAGTTACTTCTCCAGAAATTTAACACACAAATTCCGCTACCATCAAACAGCACGCGGGCTTCGGTAATCCCAACACAAAATGAAATAAAACAAGCAGCGTTGACTTGATTACAATTAGAATTACGCCAAATAGAAGAATAATCGAAATGTTCTCCAGCTAATAAAACATGATTGGATCCTTTGGCAGCTCAACGTTGCGGAATGAAAGTAAAGAAGGGAAAATCTCAAAGTTGTTTTGATGGCACACACAACAATACTTCTGTATCTTGTTCTGGAGGACTTATGGGCACAGAATGTACCTGACCAGTGCGCCCCAACGTGATGAAGACTCTGGGCTGAGACATTAGCGATTGAGCAGGGAAGACGATGAAAGGAGAAAGCTTGTTAGTTATCCAAATCAAGGAGAGAGCCGATCATTCATGTCGCAGAAGGAAAAGAAGGGGCACACTCTGAAGCAGGTCGCGTTTCATAGGAAGAGAGTCCACTCCAAGTCAAGCACTGCAGTGGTCTTTATTCGTTTCGTGACCGGTAGACAGTGTTATAGCGTCTCTGCATTTGCTATATCAAAACGCTACCTAAAACCTTCATTTTATTCGATAAAAGAATATAGTAATAGGATGCTGAGATAATTGGGCTCTACTTGGCAGTCTGGAAAGGAAAGAAGGTAGATTTTTTACATGATTTTCAACCCATTTATGGTTTCTATAGTTGTAGTCATGAATTTAGAGAAATAAAATGGTAGCGTACATCTATAAAAAAATGTTAGTGTGCATTTTAATTCAAGGGGAAGGGAAAATCTTTTATTTTATTTTATTTCCATTCATGTGATTATCAAATATGCCTTTTATATACCTTTATTTATAGTATTCCCTTTTTATTCCATAAAAAGTATTTCCTTTCAAAAGTACAAGATGTTATTAAATATTTTAGTGGAGACCATGTTCTTAAAAATTAAATATTTAATTTGTATTTTATTTTTGAAAGTGCAAAAAACAATAAAAATTAAAGACGGCAATGCTCCGAATTAACTGTCCGTTCTTTTCTTGAATGGTATACCATAGCCTTCTGCATTAAATAATAATAATCGACGCGGATTGTGGAAAACAGCTAGCGAAACTAGTCAAATAGAAGATAATACATATTACTTCCTGTAGATACAAACATATCATCGGATGAATATAATAAGGATTTTAACGAGCAACTCAGTTGTCGGTACACAATAGCTTGTGTGTGTTACATATTTGCCGTTGCTGATTTAATCTCTTCCATGGTGATCGTCTGCAGTAAATGAAAATGCCGCATTGCATCAGATAAGGAAATCAAATTTAATCAAAGTATGCACAGTCGAGTAATGTCGAGGAAGAAAAGCCAATTACTTTTAGCCAAAACAGCATAAACAAGCAGCTACTATGGTAGTTCATTCATCTCAAACTGAAGGACCGAACACCAAATCTTAACTAACAGTTGAAATTTTCCTTTGAGACGTCTATTTAGGAGATAGAATTAAAGAATTACCTGTTCATTGCCAGCAAAATCGTTGTCAGAAGTGAGAAACAACATGCAGTGGCACTCCTTCCTGTTCAAAAACTGACCATAAAAAACCAGGCGAGACAAGGGAATTTCGTAGTTCAACTTTGACAACATATCGAGTACAAAATACCAAAGGGCTCTCAATTGCATAAAAATATTCTACTAGAGTGGAGATCATAACAATTCAGCGAAACTCGTGAAGCCCTTTCTTACTCTCAGACAGAAGGAGATTCGAATGCATACGACTAAAGCATGCCATTCAATTATTTTCACATACAAAAGAGAATATTTGCCATTCAATCTATTAAAAATCCTCCACGGCAATTATTATCAAAATGAAATGTGATCCCTGTCAAGGACAAATTAGTTAAACAAAATAAGTAAAAATTCCTAAATAATGTCATGGTTGATATCCGCCCTTTAACCATCCATTGACCATAGGGACAGAGCTAATAAAGCTTACAATGCGTAACCAAAGTTGCAAGATTTTAAACATACCCCTTCAAACTTCAATGTTTTCTTAAAAGCTCTCAACTCTTTTATTTGGCCCCTTTACATATCCAATCCAAGTTGATGAACATCTTCAGCTTACACGGAACAAGAAGCCAGGGGATACTTCAATGTTCTTTTTAAAGTTGAATGACCTTATCCTAATCAAGAATCTCAAAAATCCTAGCTCACTTCTACCCTGTTTAAGTCAATAACGCATTTTCTAAGAAATTTCTGGTCTAGTAGTTGTCATCATGTCCATGCATACTTTCTAAAGAGTTAGTAGAAGTCTCTAGCTTTTTGTTAGAGAAAACCAATGGATTTCATCTTCAGGAATGTTGTATAGCCTATTTACTCTAACTTGTTCCATGTTGCTATCAACTAATGATGTTTAAATCAATGTCAAATTCATATATTTTGCCCTGTAAGAACAAACGGCAAGTTTGTAGATACAGATAAAAGAACAGTGCGGAAAATATAAATGCGGTAAATATAACACGCCCAGCAATAAACATTTTGCTTATGAAAACAATGGTTTTCGGCTTGACATTTTACGAACATGAAAGCTGTAAGTTCTCTGGTGGTTAAGGAGATAAGCCTACCTCTCTCTCATGGGAACACAAGGACAATTCCAAAAGCCCTGCCCAACCTCAGCAGCTTTATCATCATAATGTCTGAAGCACAATAAGTTTGTTATGGATACCAAGTCAAATTATCTGTGCAGTTGCCTGCAGAACTGTAGGATGAAGACAAAACTTCTGGTTGGAAACAAGATAAAAGAGTGAGTATTTACCGGCAAGGGCACAATGGTGCACCTAATGCATCTTTATGATCAGCCAACCCCTATTTTATAACAGAAATGACATAAGAAAGAAACATTACTAATAAATGCAACCACGTTTGAAATCCTTTATATATTGTGAATTTGTGATGTAAAAGTAAATGCAAAATATATAAATGTAAATGATATGGACACATCATATTTATATGAGCATATTCATTTCTCATGTTAAAGATTGGAGCATGTGTTATTACTGGAACATACTTCTTCAGTAAATTACCATCTGAGAAAGTCATTTTCTGAATGTTTACAGTTGGGAAAATGCAAACATAGAAATGTGGTTTTCTGCACTGAATAGCAATGAATCAAGATAGATAGCTTAATCAGATGGCTATTTCGTTGCTCTAAATTACAGCAAGCTACAGTAATGTCTAAAAGGGTTCTCGGGGTCAAGAAAGGATAATCAGTTTTCTAGAAGTAGTGAAAGCCCTTAAAAGACTGGCTTGCAAACAGATAGGTAAGAGAATGGGCAAGAGGGGAGGCCAAACTGATATCCTAAAAACCAAATGGTCAGCCTACATGGTTTAAGATTTGATCATCAGACCATCTTATCAATCCATGTGATTAACCATCTAAGCCCATACCCTAACATGATCCATAAACGCGATTAAATTAGCAGCAACCATAATTTCACATGCTCATAGCAGATCCTAGAAGCCTCATCAAATTGGTCACAAGAGCAGAAAAACAGCATTCCTAACCATCCTCTGGTTGATGAAACAAAGTTAAGATGTTCACACCCTAATATACAAGCATCCAGCACAACAGAATCCATATTGCTGATCTAAGGAGGAGGCAAGGCCCACTCAGTTCCAACCTTTGCACCTTATGGCATCATTCCATATAAGATATGATGCATGCTGTTCGAGATTGCACCTTTGCTAAGGAGAAGTGGAGAGCTGTTGTCAAGGAAGAATACCGGCAAGAACTTGTCTTTCAAAACCAAGGATTGGATTGCTTGGAACCTTAAGAAGGAAGGGAGGAAAGCTTACACAAGACACATCAAGTGGGAGCGAATCTTCACCTATGTTGCCTGGGACATTTGGACAACGAGATGCCATAGATTGTTTGATTCTGAAGATATGGACATGTCAGAGATTGTCACTGCGACCTCATTCAGATTTTGACAAGATAAATAACTACTGGTACGTTGCAACATGTTTATATGAGAGGAAGTAAGGAGCAGTTTAGAAAACCCGAAGGGAATACTATGCTTCTAGAAGGAAATGGTTCAGTTAATGGAAGAGGCATGAGTTCCTGTGGGGGAATAATTCAGACAGGACAAGGGGCATGGATTTTGGGCTTTAGCAAAAAATTAGACCTCTGCCCTCCTACAATTGCAGAATTGTTAGGAATCAAGTTAGGATTCGAAACGTGCTGGTACAGAAACTACAGGAATGTGATAGTGCTGTCAGACTGCATAGGAGCAATAAACTTAATCACTAGAGACAATATCATTGATCATCCATACAGCGACGTTGAAGAAATCAGGAGACTTATCACAAGTGATTGGAATGTGCTCTTCGAGTCGCAAAGTTCGGAACAAGCTTCTCGAGCTGATGGTCCAGCCAATGTCGTTCACTCTATGTCAAACACCTTTTGTTTCTTTGATCAAATCCCACCCTGGCTGCCTGTGGTGGGAAATTGATGAAAGGCTTTTGTTTTAGTTTGTAGTTTGTAAGTGACTGTTGCTTCCTATCCAAAAAAATATATATATACAAGCATCCATAACCTCTACAGAAGGTTTCCTAACACGAAAGTCATATCGATAAGATAATTAATGCTCGGTAAAAGGTGAATATACCTTAATGACAACAGAAGTGACCCCCTTGTCAGCACAAAAGTAAGTTCCTGACTTACGAGCGTATTGCTCTGAGAACTTCCTCATTATTTCAACAGATTTCTCTGATGGCTCCACTGGAAGAACAAGCAAATTACTTCCACATATATGTAACGTCGACAAAATTGGTCCCAAAAAAAAAAAAGAAAAGAAAAGAAAGCATACAAAAAGCTGAAAGCATAAACGTAAAACAAAAACCATGAAATGCTTTCTAGTTTGCAAAATTTATTTAAAAAAAGATTAAAAAAAAAAGGCAACCGATGTATTTCTTTTATGCACATAGATACGCTGCAACGCTTAACCAGTTGACCACTTTTGATCTGCCCAAAGGCCCCGAAAAAAAAAAATTCAGCTTTGACTACTGCAGAGCTAACATGCAAACCGAATTTGCACATAAAAAATTTATTGTGGATACTTTAGTCAAACGAAGAATTCCTCCACTCAGGTAGAGCACAGCACAAATTGCAAACAGAAAGAAATACAAGGAAGTGGCCGCGAAAACAGAGGAACACACCAACATCCAATTGAGCTCTGGAAGAATTTTCATCTAAATCCATATCGTCACTGATGACGAACTACGAAGAAAGCGAATTGGAGCTTAGATTGGCGAATTCTGCAGTACCGCGATTGAAGCAGGAATTACCTTGGGCTCGAAAGACAGGGAAATTGCGGTGGCCTCGAAAGGGTGACGAAATGGAAGGATTGCCAACGGCGAAGGAGGAAGCTTGTAAAGTCATTTCCAAAGATTTCCGCAACAGAGAAGAATTTCTGTGACTGATCAGTGTGGGCGACGAGAGACAGAAAGAAGAAAGCAAACGATGCTGTGGTTTTATATTTTATGGTCTGACTCTCAAATTAAAATATTTATTTATGTGTTTTATCTGATTAAATTGAATTGTGGGATTATTTGTAAAGTCATCCTTGCCACTCGTGAGAATATCGGCCAGGAAATTATACAGACCACTTGGTTAGTCTAAATATCTTTCTATCTATCTATGTATTCACATCACCCCCGGGCCCAGCTATCACCTTTTTGCAGTTCTGGCCCACTTTCGGCCCATCTGCCTTCAACAAAGCCCAATAGAGTTGGATATTTTCTGTTTTACCCCTAAGGACATCTCTCATGCTCACCACTGTCACATGATAAATGGAATAAAAGATGATTTAATGTTAAATATTTTGAAGTGAGAAACCTACATATAATGAGAAAAAATATGTGTGGAATTTATTTTTTATTTTTATTAATGGTATTTCTTATTCATTTGTCTCTCTTCTTGGAGTGTGAGGTAAAAATTTGCGTACTGAGAAGTCAGAAAAAAAGACTTTCTAGTTCAGAAAGCAGAATCAGAAATCACATGGCTAAAGTTAGAACGGTAGATGGCCACCTCAAGTTCTCGACCGTTATACTATTTATTTACTTGTTTTTTTTTAAATGTATATGATTAATAATCAAGATGAAAATTAAACAGCTACACACATGAAAATTGATGATACTACTGTTTCCCATAAAACTTTTATCAACCGCCAACTCTTTCATGAATCAGTTTTTTCTTGGGCATATTCTGCAAAATCATAAGCATTTTGATTACATTACTCATCAGCAAAACTAAAGAGAAGAATGACAGCAAGGTCCTAGAACTTCAATTTAATTACAATTGAGTTGCAGGGAATTTTTTCTGAAAAATAAATTAAAAATGACAATTTGGTGGTTGCATATATGAAAATTTCAGTTACAAATAAGGAGACTAAATTATTATTAATTCATGATTTATAACTGAAATTCGAATCAATATTGTAAAAGATAATATTTCAGTTCCTTTGCGAGAGCATTCTGGAAGGGGCCGGAGTGATGTAACTGACAGCCTGCCCACAATCTGTGTTGACTTCACAGTTTGCTTATAAGTTTCCTGCAGCAAAACTCAGGACCAGAAAATGACCTTCTCCTTCACATGAGGGCTTGCATGACTGTCTCATCTTCTACAGTCAACAGAACCAGACAAGCCTCTACTCCTTCATATATAGATCTGTACTATATGTATGAACCCTGTTATGAGTAAGTTCTCGACTGTCTTATTCTTCACCTCTCCCACGGGAAATCCAATTTTGATCACCATTTTTTAAATGGTCAGTACGTTAGAACAGAATAAATGTGTTGGTGATAAAAAAAAAAGAGTGCCGCTTCTAGCTAATAACCTGAACTTATATGTGCAGCTGGAAGATTTGTACATCATTCATAGAGAGTTGGCGTCGTGGCTGCGGTGAAGAGAATACAATAACAGGGAAGAGGGGGCACATGTTTCGAACTTGAGTATTAGTAAATGGATCCTTTTGAGGTCATGTTCTTTCATGTCTGACATTTCCCTCTTTAATATTAATATTTAACCTATTGGGTTTCCCAGTCCCCACGCAGCGTCATAATTATTTCTACCAAAGGCTTCTTCGCTGTCTCAAGGATTAAATTTAAAGTATTAGTACTGTGCATACCCAGACGATATGGTCCCCTCCTTCATCAACCCTCTTCTTTTTCTTTCTTTCCTTCTGTCATCATCGTCTGAAACTCCTTGTCATGAATCTGCGCCGACCGATTACGGGGATGAAATTAAAACTGATATCTCAGTTTTCGATTGTGTCTGGTAGTATATTAAGTCTCATAACACACCAACTAGAGCTTTTCAAGTGTTTTACACCCCGAATAAACCCCGTCTTAGACGTAACTACCAAGTTTAATTTTCAATGCACTGGTCAATATCCAAAGGAGAATGTAATTATATTCTAAGAAAATCTGATAATAGAACATGTTATATCCAAAGGAGTAAGTAATACGTATGGTATTCTTATATACAGGCATGCATATCTAATAGCCTGTTACTGAACTGATTGACATTGGGCGAGCAGATATCAACGCTATCAGTTTAAGTAGTTCATAAATTGTTGCATGCAGAATGAGTACGCACTATTAGTAGTCGCATTAAGCAAGTTACCGTAAAATTAATCTGAAATAAGAGATTTCATCGTTATAATTACTGAATCAATAATGAGAATCCAAAAGAACTTAACCCCATGACAATTCGAACTTCTCGTATGGAATAATCATCACCCGCTAGGACCGCTACAAAATTGCGTGTTTGTGTTATTTACATGTTATTAGGGCAACGGATATGAATGCCAACAAAACATGCTCCAAAGTTCCGAGTGTTTGACACCTAATAACAAGGGCCCTATATATGTTCTATAATAATCTTATATGTCTTGTCCTTTCCTTCTCGTTTGATTGTTTAGAGCTTAGACATTAAAACATACACGGTATTTCTTGATACAAGTGAGAACTTTGTTAATAAAATTTAGAAGTCCTATCGTCTTCCTCTAAAATGCCAACAAACATGAAAAAATTAACTCATTCATCCTTTCTGCCTTATTAATTAGTTGCCCCTGGAGATGCATAGCTCAGAATCATAAGCACATTTATCACCCGTACGTGAACCAACATAATACACATATACTGTAATGAAAAATATCGTTGGTCATGTATAAAAGTATTCATGCTTATTAACTTAACCACTGCTTAAGCATTGGAGCTAAAGTAAGAATGAATCCATAATTTCATACGCACATAAACACAATGTATCATATGTGCTGGTCTGAGCTTTTCAGATAATATTTACGGAGATGAATGTATTTGAAGGTGCACACAGAGACGAGAAATAGAATGATCACAGCCAAAAAGGGATCCGATATCCTCATGTCCCAGATCAATCGTCACCCAAGAGTCCGATTAGCTTCCGTTATGCTAACAAATTTATCCGCTAAGAAAAATTAATTGAATCCGATACTCATCTGGTCATCAGCAACAATACAACTCTTGAGTATATACAGCTATGGGTTTTCTTCCGGAAGTCGAATAATATGGTTTCTTTATAATCATGGGCATGTTCTCTTTTTCATTGAGTTTAGCTTACGAGTTTCCAAGAAAAAAGCTAATAGAAAGGCGATCAACGTAGTCAGAAATAAAGATCTAATTACAGTACTGCTGGTGGATAGCATTCAAGCAATTTTTCATTTTAGAAGCATAAAATTAACTTGAAGAGTTCTTTACCAGCCATCAAAATGGAAACATGTATCATATCATAAATATATATGCTCCTTCAAGAGATCAGAAATCTTCATACAAAGAAAGTAGCAGTAAAAGCATAGAAAAACAAGTCAAACGGCCGACAAATGTAAATATCGTCTCTTACACACACACACACAGAGACTCACACGATAAGAGAATAACAGTCAAACATCCAACTCTTGAGAAAAACACGGAGCTTATATTATCCTATAAAACTAGATTCGAGAAGTCTACCCGAGATCAAAAGGAAGGAAAAGTTTGGTAAAAGGAACAGTATTACAGAGCAATAGTAGAGAGAGTATGCGTAATAAATTTGCTTGATGAAGCAAATTAAAATCGGACCAGGATGCTTGATTCCCCAAAAGAAAAGACGATGAAGAGATCACCATAGAAGGCTTCTTCCCCTAGAAAGAAGAAGCAAAAGGCTCAAAGATGAGAGGAAAGGCCAAAGCGAGTCTTGTAGGAAGAAGTGCTTTTTCTTTCGGCCATGTTTGTGTGAAATGGAGGGCAAGTCTGAATCGTCGTCTTCTCTTTCTTCTCCTGACGTCGTAATGATGGCTGCTTTAGGCTTGTGGGGTGAGGATGATGAGGATGGAGGACCAAAGAGAAATGGAAGGTGTGGGAGCAATGATGGCGATAGAGCACAAAGCAAAGAGACATGATGATGACTGGCGTTGAATCAAATGCCAGAGAGAGAAAGAGAGATTCAAGGTTTTTTGTGCACCCACTCTTTATCCCCCTGACATGGTAGGGATAGATTAAATACTTGAGCCACGAAAAGAAAGGGAGAAAGAGAGAAAGGATCATCATCAAACCTAGGGTTTATCTAGGTTAATAGTATTAATATAATTCGGCTCAATAGTAGTACTAGTTTAATTTCTATGTTTCTTTAATAATGTCGACTCAAAAGCAAGAGGCAAGTGATCCATGTAGGTTGTAAAAAGGTGCACAGACGATTTTCTTTTGTTACCAATTCATATTCATAAGATTTGGGAAGGATGACATTTGTTTTTTTTTTTAATAAGGGATATTACTGATATATGGGTATCTTAAACATATATATTTATACTTATTATTTAAAATTTACATCCATATCATGTCATATTAGGAACTATTCTTTTGAAATGGGATGCCGAATGGTTAACGTTTTTTAATAAAATAATTCTCCTAAATTCTGATGCTTTTGTAGATTTTTCCAGCAGCTTTGCAAGTTTTAATTAAAGGTAAAATTCAAAAATAAACTAAACTAACGAAGTCAAACGTCTTTCCACTTTATACGTACAAAGTTCAGTGATTTGAACTAAAACCTAATGGAACTCAGACTTCGAATCGTCATAATCGTGGTGGAGACAGCGGTGCAGTTAATTAATGATTGCTTACATGTAACACAGTGCACAGTACGTGCTTGAAACCCCCCCCCCCCCCAAAAAAACAAAAAACAAAAAAACGAGGAACTTAGCAAAGCATAGTACAGCTTCATGGTGTTCGTTCACAGGCAATGACTCATTCTTGCCTCCCGTTTGTCAAGTGTCATCATCCCATGGATTTTAATTTTGATAATGTCTCATTAAATAAATAAGATATGACGGTCAGAAATTTAATGTTGTTGTTGACTCGCCATACGTGTCAATCGGTTAGGGCCGGGGGGGGGGGGAGGCATTCCACAACAACGTTGAAGCACTGGAAGGAACACAGATGGCCTATATATTTGGTTTTTGTGAAGAGAATTTTAGAAAGC